ACCAACTATTCCTTCACTAGGTTCTATTGTAAATATCTTTTCTATTTTTAATGGTGTAGTATCAATACGCCATTTCACATCCTTTCTATCTGGATTTGATAATTTAATCTCTTCTACTGTAGGATAACATTTATCAGGGGATGTGATTATTTTTTTTTTAAACTCTATTGATTGAGGTTCAACTAAAAATTTAGGTTTAAGACCTTTACAAGATACTCTTCTAGTTAATGAAGGTAAATTCTAATTAAATCTTGCTAATGTAATTGGCATATCAAATTGATAATGTTTTACATCTTTAGGAGAAAATTTCATCAAGAAAACTTATGTTTTACCAGGTAAGATTGTTAAGTTATATGATCTATATTCCTTAGTTTCCAAATCAATTTATTCAGATTTTTCAGATTGATTATCTAACGATTCATCCAATTTTGGAGCAGGTTCATCTTCATTCTCAGGATGAATAGAATGTAAAATGGTATCATCTTCATCCTATGGTTTTACTTCTAAACAATCAATTCCATCAGGTGCTTTGGGATTCTCACTCTAATGTCTTAAATCCAAAACCAAATCAACAGGAATAGTTGAATTATTAACCATAGTCATAGTTAACTAATTACTTGTTCCTAAAGTAGTTATATTACCAAAATCAAACTCTTCCTCCAGTATTTCAATTTTAGGTATTATCGCTGAGCCAATTACAGGTACTTGTAGTTGTTTTCCTCCTCTAATCAAGATTATAATTTCTCCTTTAATTATTCTTTCATCCTTAGAAAGGAATTTTACTTATAAATCTCTCGAGTCTTCTGAACTTATTCTTCCTTTGATAGGATAAACTTCAATTCCTTCTGGGAGCTTTGATGTTTATACCTAAAACACTGCAGAACTTTTAGATAGATTCTTTAGGGTTAAGACCTTTGTTTCTTACTTACAAACAACGATTTCCTTAAAATCAATGACAGCTTATTTTATAGCACATTTAGGTTCAGAAACTACTCCCATGCATTTAATAGTCTAATCCAATCCATCTTCTGTTTTTAATAATAATTTTTCTTCCTCATTCCTAATTGTTGCAATAGTTGCCTGCTATTAAGATAATATAGATTATGATTATTATTATTACTATTATTATTATTGTTATTATTATTATTATTATTATTATTACTATTATTATTATTATTATTATTGTTAACCTTAATTATTTTTGTCTTATTATTGCTACTGTTATTGCTATGAGCCAATAGGCTATTTCACTTCTGGCAAAGGCTATAACTAACTTGGTTTATAAATAACTTAACATTCCAGGTATTTGCCACTTGGTACAACTCCAGATTCAGGTTGGACATAAAAAATCTTTTTTTCAGTTGTTATCCATTTAAATTTGGCTTCTGCATTTCCATTATTTGTTAAACGAACTATTTCAGCAGTTTCCATTTCATTATTATCTTCATTAAATGCAAATTTAATTTGAGTTCTATTCATTTCTAAGAAGACTCTTTCAATATTTGCTTAAACAAGAAATTCAAAAATATGATTCTCATTTATTACATATTTTAGATGTGTTTTTATCTATCCTAATTATTTTGAGCAAAGAATCACATCAAATTAAGCAGTTTAACCACTAGGAATGATTTATGGCTTGATATATGATTAATTAAAATCTTCTTTATCAGTATGTAATCTAACACTTATAGAATTTCTAAGATCATTTCTCACATAAAAGTATTTTATTACAGTACTTTTGATATAAACATTTCCAAATTCTATTTTAACAGGTCCAGCTTATATTTTCTATAATTAATCAGCATTTAATTCTGCACTTGTATCTCTAATTTCACTATGAGTCTTAGGTTCAAAAGGGAATTTCTTTTTTTAAATATTTTTAAGGTCAGGTTCAAAAGGTTTAAGTTGTTTCCCTTCCTTTAATTAATTTTAATTAAGTGGTTCATAATGAAATATTGGTTTAGTTACAAAAAGAGTCTCATTTGCTTCTGGCAATGGCAATTCTTGTTCGTATCCATCATCTTGCATTCCAACTGCAAATTCATAATCAATTGGAGGTTCTGGTTTAGGTTCTTCTTCTTATTCTTATTTCTTAGTAGCTCCTACAGGTTTTACAGTTTCTTATTTGATTTCCTTTAAACGTTCATTCATCTAAGTAAATTTTTGTTTAATTTTTTTATCCTTGACCTTTTTAAGCCTTTATTCTCTATGCATTTTTAAATATTCATTATATATTTCTTTATTTAATGACTTTTGTTTTAATTCTTCAATTTTATCTAAAGAAATTCCTTATTGAACCAAAGATTAAACTGATTGGGAAATATCTAAAGTTTAAACTTTTTCAATTGATTTAATATTGCTAATACTTTATTCTTTGGTTATTGTATGTTTCATTTCAAAATCCTCAGGAAGTGATTCAGGTCCCCTTTTAACTTATTATTTATTTGTAAATTATTAACTCACTCCTGCTAATCTAACAGGAATTTTGAAGATTCCTCCAAGCAATTCAGCATTAATAACAGTAGTGAAATTTCCAGTGTGCTTTGGTTTGAAACTAACCCAAAAATTTTATTTCTCTTCAGGTTACAAAATTGATAATGATGGATTAACTTAGAAATAAGGCACAACAGGCCAATGAATTTAAATTGGCAAATCTGTCTATTTATTAGTAACTTCAAAAACAATTTCTTTACTTTAGTTAGCAGGACACAATCCAAATTATAAAATAGGAGTTGGTGGAAATTTGATTGTAGGGCAAATACATCTTACCTATAAATGATTCATCAATGGTTCATTATCTTAAAAATCAAAAATTGCAGAATAATGATATTCATCATAATCTGGTTTTAATTGATCAGGAGACAATGCAAAAGATCTTGTCCATACTTATTATTCTTCTGAAACCTTAGGTTTACATTTAAAAACTATTTCAATTTATGAATAGCTTTCCAAAACACCTTCCTCTGGATAACATTCCATAATTCTTTCTGTTTGTTCAAGACCTAATTCTGCAGGTGTTTACAATTTAAGTGCATCTTCTTATTAATGCAAACCTTTCTTGAGTTTCACTTTAAATTTTTGTTACTTAGGAGTGTTATTTACCAAATACGTTTCAATTTGCTTGAATTATCCATAGTAAATCTAACCAAAATCAAAGAAATTATTTTGAACTCCAGTATCGTCAATAAGAAAACGAGTAAATTCTATTGATGTTGCATTGATATCAATTGTTTTCTGAAGACTTTAACCATCTGCAATTACTTCTACTAAACCCCTGAAGATACCAGCATCTTTAGGTTTATAAAATACCTTAACCGCATATTCTTATCCTGCTCCTAAACTAAATGAAGTTGGATCTATTTTGAAATCAGGTAAACGATCAATTTTTAGCTCTACTTTACCTGTTGATCTACCTTCATTCTTAAAGTATATATTATCTACTTTCTCTTTTCCTACACGAACAAATCCCAAATTTATAAATGGCTCAAATACTATACTAAAATGAATTAAACGTTAAAAAATACGCAGCCTGAGGAGGGAAGGCAAAAAGAGGCACATCAATTGTATAGTTACCATCTGACACAATTTTCAAACTATCTTAATACTACTCTAAGCTGGCTGTTTCAAATGTTACTATTAGTTTCATTGAAAGTCCTGCTGCTATGGCGCTATAAATTTATATAATAAACACATACCCTTGCATTTCATAATCGCATCTGAAATTAGAATGAGGTTGAAATACACGAATTCTCCTAGCAGTCTATGTTAAGTTTCTCACAAACACAGTAATTTCATAAGTCTAATTAATCTATATATCTTTAAATATGATCTCGCTTGGTACTACTTCAATAGGTGGACCTGTTGACAGTTGCTTAATTCTAGTCATAGTACTATTGAGACTTTTGTTGCTCTAATTCATTATTAATAATAATATTTTTGCGTATTCTAAGAATGTGGATAAATAAAAACCAACAACAAATGATTTTCTTGTTTCAAAATCAAGAATAGAAATTTAGATCTCTTATTAAACTATTAGTAAATAATCTTAAATAACATATTATTAGATTTAAAAGAAAAAAATAACTAATTAAAAATATCCTTTTTCAAATTAATCAGCTTATATTATAGAAATATGAACTAATTAAGTGTAATTGATGAGTAGATTTCTATTTATAAATTGATTCTTAGATAACTTTAAATAATAATAAATAAATATAATAAAATTAACAAATTAAGTAATAAAATAAAGATTCTTTAATGATATTCATTTAATCAATTTACATTATTTGAATTCTTAATTATTAATTTATTTTATTCTTATAAAGTTTTTAACTGTAAGTTAAAATCCATAATCTTCATTAGTTTTGATTTAATAATTAGAAATAGAACAATTATATTATACAATTATTAAGATTATTTTCCATATCTTTTTCAGTATATTAATCAAAATCTAAGTATTAAATTAAAAATTTATGGTTTTGGATAAGATTTTGATAGTTACAACTTATCAATGTAATTAGTTAAAATCTAAGAATATTATGAATTTAATTGTTTATAGTTGAAATTTATATATATTTTCTTCAAATGGATACTAAAAAAAAGTCTTTTAAAATAAATTAAATAATAAATATTTGAATCAAATCCTTATTATATGTGATCCAAAAAATAAATAAATAATTCATTAGTTTTTTAGTAAAATCTTATTGTTACAATCATGATTGAATTATTTTAAAATGATGTTTAAAATTTTTTGATAATTTATACTTCATTTGAAATATTAAGGGAATAAGATTAATAGATATTGACTCTATTACTTATTAATAAATAAAGCATTCTCTTGATGTCTTAATGTAGGTATAGGAAAATTAATGGAATGTAAACAGTATTTTTGAATAACTGTTAAGAAATCAAATATTTGATTTATGCTTTATCATTAATATGATTTATGATTGATACATTAAATTAGTAAAAAATATAAAAATAAAATTAAGTTTTTATATTCATTATTTACTTCTAAATGATAACTGAAATAAATTTCCAACTTCTTATCCCTTATAAGTTTTAAGTTTTAAGGGATAATAGATGTCAGAGATTTTATCTTATTTTTTAATACTTTTATCACAACTATTTAATGTATTTCTATGTGAATGTTGTTATTAAAATCCTTAATAATCATCTTCTTCATTGAGTTTAAATCTATAACTATTTTATGGAGATTATCTATGTTAGTTTTTTTAAGTGTTTGAAAATTCTAGTTTAAAAGTAAATTAAGGTGTAATATCATTGAAATTTCTTGTTTTTTAGGAGGATCTATCAATTTATTTATGGATTGTCTATTGAGATGGAGTTTATTTAGTAAATAATTTATAGATTTTCTAAAATATTTATAAATATGTATTTTACTTATTGTATTATTTATTATGATTATTATTAGTTAGTAAATGAGTGTTGTGATTTTTAAGATTCAGTTGTTTAGAAAGTATGTTTTGATTTAAATTTAAGTGAATCGATTGTTTTTATTTGTTTTTTTGTATTTTTAAAATAGTATTAATTTTATTATTATTGACCATAAAACTCTTAACTTAACTATCTATAAAATTCATCGTCATTATTAATTTTAAATTTATTTTCAGTAGGTTAAAATTAATAAGAATCATCTTTTTCTAGCATAAAGCTAACAAATCCATCTTAGTTCATTAAAAATTAAATATTATTATTATATTATATAAATATATATATATTTAACTCATCATTACTCATTAAGAATAGATAAATGTTTAACCTATTATTATTTAAGCAACATTTCTAATTAATTAATTTAATCAAATGTTTTAGCATTCTCTAATAATTTTTTAATATGTTCTTTATCTAAAGTAGCATCTTTCAAATTAATTAAATTCATATAATCTGTTAATTCATCAGGTTTGAAAGATTCTTCAGCTTTTTGTCTTTCCTAAATTGAATTAAATAATTTAATTACTGATTAAGTAACTTTATTGAAATCAAGAATTTTTAAATTAGGTAAAATTGCAATAACTTTATATCTATAATCAGGTTATTAAGTTATAAGATTTCCATGTAAAATTAATCGTTTAAGTTTTTTACAATGCTTTAATTGATATAATTCATTAATATCAGTTAACCTATTATTCATTAAGATTAAATTTTCAATGTTTGGTAATGAATCAGATACATCTGTTAATTTAATGATTCTATTGTTAGATAAATTTAAAGTCTTAAGTCTTAAGATAAAATTAATAAAATATACCTCTTTAATAAAGTGAGATTTCCAAGCTTTTTGATATCATTATCACCTAAATCAATGTGATCAAAAAAATCCTACATAAAAGAATCTTGATACCAATGTAGCTCCTAAATTTTCTATGGCTGTAATTTTCTTTGCTAAATTAATTAAATATTTATTTTAATACCTCGTAGATCAAGCTGTCTTTCATTTAATGGATTAATAAAATGATGTGATCCCTATATTAATTCAGAGTTTATTTTCATTAATATATTTATATAATATAATCATCCTGTAAATCGAAAACAAAAAAAGCAAAATGTCGATTAGATACCTCTAACATCCACTTGCCAAGCATATTGAAGGTCACATTAAGGACAACTACCAAATGATCCTTAAAATAAGAATTTTTCAACAATTTGCATTCTAATCAAAAAAGAATGTGCAACATCACTTTATCTCATTGTTGATTATATATGTTCCATAATAAAATTATTTTAATGATCCTATTTTATAATATAATTTGAATACTCCTAATTTTCTTGTGCAATTAAATGGACACATACTTCCCATACAATAATTTGATTAATGAATATCTTAAAATAATTATTCAACTTTCTCATGACAATCTTAACATTCAATTTTTTATTCACAACCTTATATAATATACATAAATGAAATACACTTTCGATAATGATTTTAAACAAATTCTGGATATTTGACTACTTATTTGCAATTATCATTAGGACATTTTATACTTAAATTTTTTATTAATACTTATGCTCTTAAACTATTTGGAGGTGCTGACAATAATTCTTATTTACAAATTGGACACACTTATCTCACATCTTCTATATTTCTAATATTATAATAGCAATCTTTGCAAATTTCATGTCCTTATAAACAAACTATTATTGGAATTTAATTAAATTCTCTACAAACAGGACAAATTAATTCATATTTTTAGATTTCTTCATGAAGTTCTTTTTATGATTCTAAATTGATAAGAGTATCAAATTTTAGTAATTTTGAATAATAATTAATTTTTGCAATTTCTTCTATTTCTTTTACAATACATTGTCCACATGTATAGGGTTACTCTAAATTACAACGTTTACATGTATTTGGTAATGTTAAATATTTTAAGAATTCTTTTAAATCAATTTATTATTTGCATGAATCTATAGGACACTTAATTTAAAATTTTGATTTCTTAGATTAAATAGTATTGCTTAAGATCTATTTGAAACAATTTTAACATAAATGATGATCACATTCTATAAATAAATGAAATATGAACTTCCTAATTAATATTGTGGATCCATGGCATCACATTAAGCACACTATTTAGTCTATTTAATTTTATGCATTATTAATAATTAAATAAAATTAATAAAATCCTTTCATGTTTTTAAAGTATAATGTTGACTTTATCCTAGTTTTGGTCGATTTTTCGGATTTGGATTCTAATCTAAATTTGACACATTGTTAAAATAAGATAATTTAACATTAGAAACCATTTTGAATGAAGAAGACATTTTGTCTGAATTAAAAAATTCAAGTTCAGGTAAATTTGCTGATTTGTAAGATAAAATTTTAAACTATTCTCTAGCATAATTCAGCATCCATAGGAATACTTTAAAATGATTCATTACATTATTAATAATGTAACTGATTAACAGTATGATAAAAATTTATGCATAAAGTAATAATATAACAATATACATTTCTAGATATCCATTTTTGATAAGTGAAATATTAGGTTCTGAAAATGAGAAATTAATTAATTTCTTATTTGAAAAACAAGGAGATACATCCTAAGAAGAAGTTTAAAATCCACTTGAAGATCAACGAACTGAAAGTTAACCTTAAGAATTCTAACATGATAATGAAAATTTAAGATAGAATCTACTACCAGATCTATTATCTCTATTAGAAAATGATTCCATCCTAATAACATCAGCTGGGTATTTTACCAAAATAATATCAGCCATTATTCATAAAAGAGGATATGATGTAATTCTATTAATAAATTAAGTTTTGGGACTATTTAAAAAATAACCCTGATATAATTACTAATCTATTTAAACATGCAAGTATAAGACATATTACTGAAATATTTGAAAAATTGATCATTTTAGATACATGTTAAGAAGAACATGATGATAGATTATATATAGAAGAGAGACAAAATTTAATCATTAGAATACTCAAATATTTAAGAGGTTAATCATATTCAAATACAATCATAACAAATATATGTGAATCACTTATAGAAGTATACAAAAGAGTAATGATGTCTCTTGAGTCTATGGTAGTTTTGAGAGAACTCTTATTAAATATTGAAAAACCCATATTCTTTATGAATTTAGCAATACAAACTTAAAATAGTTCTTTATTTAATTTACTCAATGTTCAATATGAGTTTTATAACAAAATGTCATAGCTTGAAGATAAACATTACGAAATAGATTTCTCTATTCTTTATAAACCAATTTTAGATGAATCAGTAAAAGCTTTAACTTAATAGGATATATTTAGATCATCTTTTTAAACTACATATGGAGATATAATTAAACCATTAGGTGATTCAAAATTGTCATTAATTTAATTAATTATATAATTAATACAAAAATAATAATTAGCTCCTATTATTGAAAAAGGATAAATATTTTAATAAATTATTAATTTAGTTATTGAATATCAAACAAACAATTAATTACATATTTTATTTGAAAAATTAATAGTTGCTATTTTAGATTCTAAAAATGATCATTTACATGAACTCTTTTTTGAGGATACCAATTTTTTGAATTTCCTCATCAAAAATAATGGTTTTGAAGAAAGAAAGAAAAAACATTGTTATTAAGGTATCTTAACTAAAATAACAAATTATATTAATTCTCCAAATGTCCTTTAATAATATTAAATTGTATAAATTGCAATTTCCAGCATACAAAATGAATGGTTAAAATATCTTGATGAGTTAAAAGTAGTTAATGAAGTTGAATAATCATGGTTATTTGGAGTAAATCCAAGATTCAGAGAATAAATAAATGTAGATTCTTATAGTCCTCCTATTTAATTCCCTGAATCTCTAGGTTCTGGCTACTATCAATCCACCAATTCTTCTAATTCATAAACAAATGAAAATCAAAAAGAATCTGAAGAAGATACTTCTGATAATAATTAAAAAGAAATAATTGATCAACAAGCAGATGAATTTGACTCAGAAGAAGCTTAAATAGAAAAATAATAACCACCAGTAGAAGTTGTTCAAGTGGAAGAAGAAAATATTGAATCATAAGAAGAGTAATAGCCTTAAAAGCATGAATAATAAATATTTGATTCTCCAGTCTATGTTCAAAGTGTTTAGAATGAAGAATAAGTAAATGAGAATCTTAAATAAACAAAGGAGTTTTAAGAAGATCCCAAAAAATTAGAATAAGATGAGTAAAAATTAGTCTAACAAGAAGTCTAATAAGAAGAATAATTAAATGAATAAATAGCTGAAGGGAAATAAGAATAATAGAATATAATTTAAGAAGAATAACCAAAATAAGAGGAATAATAGAAATAAGAAGAATAATAAAAATAAGAAGAAGTATAATAGAATATACTTAAAGAGGAACCAAAACAAGTAGAGTAATAATAACCTCAAATTGAATAATAACCATAAACTGAAGATCATGCAAATTCAGAATAAATAGAGCAAAATAAATAACCCTAAGATGAGGTTTGATATAATATTATTATTAATATTATATTTTTTAGTTTACATATATATATTTGTTTATCTGAGAATTAGATTATACTGATCCTTTTATTTTCTTTCTTTTATTATTTTAAAATAGAATTTTTATTTGAATATTCTTATTGCAATATCTCTATAATAATTTTTATATCTTTTTTATAGTTTTAAAATTAATTATATTAAAAATGAAGAATAATATTAGAATAATTATAAGTTTTATCTTTTAATTAATTAGTTAAATTGTTGATAAATTAACTTTATCAAATAATATATATTTAATCATTATTCTGTCTTTTAATTTCTTTTCTTTTTAATCAATTTATTTTACTTTAAATGTTTAGTTCTGAGAGCTGCTGCTTTTCTTGCTTCATTCATAATGGCAAGATATCTTTATTTTAATTCTAATTGATATTAATTAAAAAGCCTTGACCATTCACTTTAAGTTAATCTCAATTTAAATTTTGGTCTAATATCAGAACACATATTTTCTGCTAATTTTAATATTAAATTTGGAAATGGTTATTAATCTTATGGTAATTGACGAATTTTATTAAAAATTAAGTCTTTAAATATTACAGAATTTAATCCATTTCTTCTTCTTGAAAGTTCTCTTTTTTGTAAGATTTATTTAATTTCTTAATCATCCTTTGCCTTTAATTATTTAATTTCAGGTCCATCAGCTTTAAATCTAATCATTAATTTTCCTCTATCTGTATTTATCTATTGTTTATGAGTTTCTTTATAATCATTTAATTTTGTATAAAACTTAATTAATAAATAGATAGATTACATCTCTCATTTATCTTGTATATTCTCTTCTGATTTTTTCAAGATGTTCTTTTAGAATATCATATTTGACTACTAATTCTTCCATGTATACTTTTTCATGAACTTATAATTATATCATCATTTGATAGTCAAATCTTATCTTAGCTGCTACACTAAGAGCAATATTATCTATATATCTTGTATATGGTAGTAAAACTCTTCCTATAATTTTAGGATCAATATCTTTAATTTCTTCATCTATTTATACAACAGCTTTAACTTTTTTTAATAAATTTGTTCTCAATTCAGTTGCTTTAAATACTGGATTAATTTTTAATTTTAGATCATTCCAATTTTATGATTTTTATGGAGTAATTAGTTTTTATAATATATGTTATTATTTTTCCATTAAATGAGGTAATTCATGTAATTTTAATTCTTCTCTATCTTTTTCTGTCATTTAACCTTTAAAACTTTATTTTAAATATTCATCCCATTTATAATTTAGATAACTTAATTAAACTTGAAAATTATGATTATACCATTTACAAAATCTTTAAATTGTTTATGTTTTGTTTACGATAGTTTTTAAATTAATTCGAAATTTTAAAAATAAGGAACTTCTTAAATGAAATAAGTTGATTTTTCTTATATGAGTATATTTAGATTTAATTCTAAAATGAATTTTAAATCTAAATATAAATGATAATAAAATTTTCTTTTATCTTAAACCTAATTTCTATTTAATTTTCTTTATTATATTTCTTTTTCTAATTGTATTTTGAATTACTCTTGCTTTCATATGTTCTTTAAACATTAATCTTTTTAATTCTAAACCTCTTTAAGATGTATCTTACATCATTTAATAAATATTTTCCATATTTAAATAAGTCAAAATCATCCTAAAAAATTATATATTTTATTATTATCTTATAATTTCTAATCTTTTTTTGTATCTAAATTCTGGAGATTTCTCTTATATTTATTATTAAATATGATGAATTTTCTCTACAAAATTACATTATTTTTTTTATTATACAATTCTTAATTTCATTTCTCTTTCATATGCTTATGTTTAAATAGCCTTAATAATGTCTTCTTTATTTTAAATTGGAACCTTCTTTAATTGCATTTTCTCAGTTATTTCTTTATTAAGTTCTTCTCTTAATTTTTATTTCTTTATAAAGATTTCTTTTCTCTTTTATGATAATTATTTTAAATCTCTTTTTACATTATGAAGAAAATATGGATCAAATTAATCAAATTTATCATGATATTTCTTTTTATCACTTTAATTTGATTCATCACTTCTATTTTTAGAAGATCTAGGATGTATTTATAAATTATTTTGATTTTCAAATGATTATTTATTGTTATCATTTAATAATGTCTTCATAAATTTAGATTCATCTTAAGACTTAACCATTAGAATGTATTAATACTTCAAAACATCATTTTCATGACTTAATAATTAATCTATATCTTAATGCTATTACCAAGTTTATGATGTTGGAGTAGAAGTATTGCACACTGGTATATAAAGATAATTTTAATATTCTAATTATTTTAATTTGGATTACACATCATCATAATCTTAATTTACTTAAGTATGATAATTAATTATATCAGTATCTAATCTTAAAGATTTAGTATTCCATTTATTTTTAGGTGCTCCTTTTAGAGAATCAACTTAACTTTTCATCTTCCTTAATAAACCTGCTGTTTATTCATATTATGTATTTTTCAAAGGTGATTCGAGATTATCACAAAATTATTGAATTTAAGTTTAAGCCTATATTTAATCAATCTTATTTTTTTTATCAGCAAAATCTTTCATAAAGGCAGCTTCCTCTCTGACTCTTTTCTATTAATGAGAAGTATATTAATCAACATTTAAACTTGGCAATTTATACTTTGAATTAGCTGGAACAATAAGAACAGTAAAAGTATTACCCATAGCAGCATCAATTACTTTAACATTCTTTAATTCTAACAATTAAGGATACCTAACTTTATCATCTAAATCTCCTAAGCAATTTTTAGTATTTATTCCCCATCCATATAATTAACCTGATAAATCTAATGCTCCAAAATGAGAATCACCAGCCATTATTTTAATGAATGGTTTTTGTTTTTAACAAAGTTTAGCTGGTATAACAGCTTTAGATAAATCCATCTAAAATGGTCCTTTACCCCATCCATAAATATCTCCTTTCACATCAAGTGCTATACTATAATTAGAACCACATGCACAAGATACTATTTTTGTTGAAAAATCTTCAATTAATTTTGGAATTAATTGTTCCTTCTATATAAAATCCATATAACCTAACTTCCCATCAGCAAATTCTCCCCAACTCCATACTTTACCCTAATCATCCCAAGCCAGTATATGCTTCTAACCACAAGCTATTCCTATAAATTATACTGTAAATTGTTATTGCAATCCCAAACAAAACAATTTATTTGGAGTTAAAAGATAAGTTATTGTGCCTACACATTTTAATGCTACAACTTCAGCTTAATGAACAGGTAAATGACTAGATCTTCTTTCATATTCATTGTATCTATTGATTGAAAAATTATAGGTAATATCTAAACTGCTTATTTAATAAAATGTGTCAATTTATTCTGTAAAACCTTATTTCTCTGAAAGCTTTAATACTTCTCCATAATTTAATTAATGCCAATTACCCCAAACATAGATCTTTTTATTTGTTGAGTAAGCAACAACAAAGCCAGTTCCAGCATTTACTAATTTATAAGAATTTTAAGTTATTTATGAAATATTTACAGGCATACTAACAGAAGGTTGTTATAAACCTAATTATGCAAATTAAGAATTTCCAAACCCCCAAAGATCATATTATGCTACTTTATATTATAATAGTACAATCTATCAGGAATGTATTTTATTCACAACAAATCACACTTATAAAACACAACTCTTATTCTCCCTTTTTTGATGTTTTAGCTGGATCTCTAGAATATTTGTTTTATGGAAACACAATTCTTTGCAATCTGAATTAACTAATAAATAATTACTTTTAATTATCATTCATTATTGTCTACATTTATAAAGCAAAATCTCCTACTCCAAAGTAAAGTACTAAATTACTAAATCAAAATACCATGAGTCATTATTTAACAAAAACTGTATTATAATTGCAATTTTATTTATAAATTTTGGCTTAATCAAGCCATAATAATACTAAAAAATCAAATATATTATTATACAAATTAACCCTAATTTTAAACATCAACCTAGAAGTTTATATTATCATCATAATTAATAAGTGATTATTAAATTGTTATATCATTAAGTATAATAATATTATTATATAAATTTAAAGAATATATTAGTTTTTATATTTCTTTCAAGCTATGATTATAATCAATGATAGGAACAGAGTAAACGTGATTCCTATTCCAACAAAAATATATATTTAGGCATCTTTAAGTATTGGTTTAAATGCTGCTAATTCTTCTAGTTCTTTTTTTACATTTAATTCAAGTGTTTCATATAAGTTTTTACCACTTTCTTATATTTCTGGTGGATTATAGCTATCATTTTCCTTAATCACACTTGGAGGATTCAATTTTTGATTTGTTTATGTGATTTAATTTGATGTTATAAAGTCTCTTCTGATTTCAGATTATTCATTATCACTTGCCACTCCTTCATTTCCATTTAAACTAAAGTACTTTACTTCAAGATTATCAATTTGTTTTTAGATATCTGATTTTAATCTTCTTTCAAGATCATTTGGTTAAATAGTGTCATAATTTGGAATTTAAACAAAAGTCTTTTTTAAATCTTCTAATGCTTCTAAAACATTTTTTTTAGTTGTAGATGGAAATGTCATCATTAAAAAATAACATGCTTAGATTATAAAATATTTTATACATTTTTTTTCATCTAATATTCCATGCCATTCAGATCTTTAATTTCCTTGAGCATAAATTTCAAATTTTGTAGTTTCATTTAATTGTCTCTTTAATTAATTTATAATAGATCCTTTTGTGTCATCAAAAGATTTATAAGTTCCTCTTTTTAAACAAAAAAGTGTTTTATTTCCATTTACATTATAAACCATAAAACATCTGTATACTGAATATTTTCTATACTGATCTGAAATCTTTGATTATTATTATTATCCAGGATTTCTTATTTAACTTATTCTAAATATTTAAATAATGAATACTGAGGATTGCTTTAAAGAAAATTACTAGATGCTTTCTTTTATTCTTATTATGTTCCCTTTTCATTTTCATCAGGTTGTCCCTCTGTTCCTATCTCTTTCACATATTTATATTCAAGTTCATCCAATTTTGCTTAGAGATCATTTTTTTTTTATTGTGGAAAAGTTGTATCATTAAACTATTATTTTTAAATATATTTTTACATTTTAGTAATTAGGTACATAGAGAACTATTTGTTATAATTCAAGTAAGGATTATCGTATGGCACTTTGTTGTGATCCAGGGAAAGTCATCATTAAAAAATAACAGTCTTAATTTAAATGATAAATTGTATACTTGTTCTTTCATCTAATATTCCATGCCATTCACATCTTTATCCACCAGGAATGTTTATTTAATTACGTTAAGAATCTAACAGATTTTATTTAACATATTCTTTGACTTTCAAAATTGTTTCTGTAAATAAATTGCCACAGTGACGTTTAATAGATATTAAAACTGATTGTTTATTACAATCATAAACCGCAAAACATCGAAATACCCTTCCTTCATAATCTAATGCTTATTTAGATTGCATATTCATATCGAAATTATTTTTATTATTAATTTATATTTTTAATTGTTTTTTATCTTATAATTCTATTTTGATAATATCAAGTTTCTTTCAAGTCTTAATTAAGATGTATAATAATTTTATATTAATGTCAAAATATTCTTATATTTCTTAAACTCTATAAATATTATTAAATAAAATCATAATAATATAATAATTATTAATTTTTTTATATAAAAATAATGTCAACTAACATATAAATCATGCTACCAAGTTCCTATGTAGCATTCTTTATTTTAATATTCAAATTGACCCTTCCCATGAGCTTAATCACATGAAAAAACTCCCATAAATTTTGAACCATCGGCAAAATAGAGAACTCCGATGCCATGCTTTTATCCATGTTTAACTTGTCCTTTATATTAAATCCAATCTTTCCTTGATAAATTCTTATGTGATTTCTCCAATTCCTATTTTGGTTTATTATAAAAGGTAACATCACCATCAGGAACATCAAATACCCACATTCCTTCTGTAACCTTTTAGTTTTCAGAATCATAATATGTACCTAATCCATGTCTTCTTCTATTACAAATTTATCCAATATAATAGAAACCATTTGAATAATGTAATTTTCCTTATGTAACGGCATTTTCAAAACCATTTTTTGTCTCCTAAGTTTTACCATAATCTTTAATTGAAGCTTGACTCATATCTTATTGTCTATATTTTTATTAATCAACTTATTAGTTTTTAGATAAATGTTAACTAGATCTAATCATTATTGGAGATGTAGCTTAACCTGAAGGATGTTTGGATTAAAAGATATTTTAATTTAATAGATGATCAAAGGAAGAAGGTTTATTAAAACCAGCAATAAAGAATTCTTAAGGTTAATGTTATTCTAATAAACGATGTTTCTTTATATCTAGAAACAATTTATTGACCATTTCATCTAACTGTATGAAATCAGGTCTTTCATTTTCATCTACTTTTAACATCAATTCAATCAAATGTAATATTTATTCATTAAAATTAGTTGTTATCAATTCATCTTATACTTTTCTTAATTAGAAATCATCTATTGTCCATCTTTTCCAATCATATATTTCTGGTTTCTTTGCTTAAATTAAATATACAATAATTAATCCAAAATTAAATACATCTGATTTATATCGATTATGTTTAAGATACTTATTAAAATATATGATTTACTTTATCTTTTCTTGGGATAGCCTCAATTTATGCTGGAGAAAGAAATGCTGTCTTTTTCATTTCATTTAAAGCTTTAAATAGATAAAAATAATTAAATACTTTACTTATCATCATAAAGGGAGATGAATTCTTGAAATAGATTTTATCTAATTGGTTTTTAATATCTATCAACTAATTTGTACACATCAACATTAAAAGGAGTTTTAACCATTACAATATCATCAATTTCAAAGCCTGAAGGATATATTTTATTTGCTTATTGAAATGCAAATGCTGAAACTACACAATCCAAAAGAAATAAGATTTCATCTTAAGTAAATTACTGTTTCATTATGACCTTCTTATGTCGAGATAAAGGTTCTAATGGTTTATCAATTAGAAGTATTATTTCAGTATATGGGATAAAAACTTTCATTGATTCTATTATGGAAACATTGTGAATTGATAATAAATTAGGATGGTTATGCTATTCATTCTTTGTTCTCCATTTCCTAACAAACTCTTTAAGCTTATTTTATGAATCTGCTGCTTTAGAATAAATTAATCCAAAATGTGGTATACTATTATGTTGAATTCTATGATTTAATATTAGATTACATTTCAACCCATTTCAAGGTTTAAAATATTTTATACTCATCCGTATAAGGCATAGGAACTTAAAATTGTGACATTATTTCTCTCATTCGTAAATCTTGTTGGATATCTTATGTTGTCCCTTAACAAGAACCCATTATTCCAAAATTTTATATTATTATTTTTATAAACTATCTGTTTTTTTAAACTCTCAATAAATAAAGAAAAGATCAGTTAGTAAATAGATCTTTATTTTTAAATGAAGAGGTAACCCTTGCATATAAAATATATTTTACAATACAAAAAAATATGTTGAATATTCAAAACATTTCAATCTCACTAATAGATGTAATATTCTAGAAAATTTCAATTGTCAGAATTTAATGATGATGACAATTATAATTTAAATAAGATTACAAATCAATTATCCATTATCATTTCTATCATGAAAATGAATGCCAATTCTTAATCTACTAATTTATCAAAGATCTACCTATATTTTATAATTCAAGGAGTATTGAAATATTGATACATGGATTCCTATTATTTCCTAATAGTAAAGAGTTTTTGTAAAGTAAGATTTCATCCAAGTAAAAGTACTAATCTTTTGTTAGATCTTTAGTTACATAATAGGGATTCTTTATAATATTATTCAATTTTTTTATTTTATTTTGATATACATTGTAGAATAATTAACAATAAATAATGTTATTGTTTTATTTAGATAAAATTTTACTTAGAATTTACTTAATTAGTTCAATTCTTAAAATTAAACATGTCTAATTATTTATTGAATAATAATTAAGTGATTTAATTATACTAATTAAAAATGATAAAAGAATTTTAAAATTGCTCAGATATACTCTGAAGCCAGTTTCTGTTATCAAATTCAACAACAAATAATCAATTTGATTACATTTTCTAAGCTAACTGTATCCAATATAAAAGAATTAAGTATTCTGGAATATATTAATATTTTGATTTGATATATTTTTTATTGTCTGATTGTACTATTATTTTAAAAAAGATTTTAATTTTGAAATGTAATTTAATATGGATTCTATTTTATTCTACTCATTCTTATATCTTGTTGAATTGTAATTCTTTCATAAGTTCATTAAAAAATTACATAAATTATATATCATAAAATTTTTGTAAAAATCAATATGCTTGATGTTTGGAATACAAATAAACTAAAAATAAAGACATAAAAGTATCTCTTATTATGTCTACCAACACATTTACCAATCCATGGACAGTGATGATCATACCCTTCAATACATACTCCACAAGTATCACAATGTTCTGTATACTTTTATTATTTTTAATTGCAAATTTCACAATATTTAATTGGTTATATATAATAGTTATATTTATAATTGCTAACTCCTTGATTCATAAAGGCTGCTAGAAAATAATTTATTAAAGTTGAAGTATAGGACACTACACTTAATGATAATCTAATGATTCCTAAATCTCTTGAAAATAACACTATCAATAAAATGAAACCATATATTGCATATGCGATGTATGCCAACAAAAATTGTAGAACTAATAGTTAAACCTCTTTTACAATTAGGTCCAAGGACAACTGCTGGAATGCTATCATCTATATATAAATAAGGTTTGCATTTTCCCCAATTGATTTATTATTACATCATATTATTAATGAAAAATTATAATTATCTCTTTAAGTATATTATTGTAGGAAGCACTAGTTAGTAATTTTATTATTGATGAAGGTGTAGGAAAAAGTTGTTTGCTTTTACAATATGTTGATCAAAAATTTAGAAATGCACACTAAGTTACAATGGGAGTAGAATTTGGAACTAATATTATCAAATCAAATAGTCATGTTATTAAATTACATATATGGGATACAGTAAGATTACTATCAATAATAATAGGCTGGTTAAGAGTCTTTTTCATCAATGATTCGAGCATATTATAGAAAGTATTTTTAGATTAAATTAGTGCAATTGGATGTATTTTAGTCTTTGATTTGACAGATAGAAAATCATTTGATGCATTAATTAGATGGCACAATGAAGTATTAAGTTGTACTGGGAATGATATATAAATTATTATTGTTGGAAATAAAAGTGATTTACAGAATAAGTATGCTTTTTCCATATTAAAAGGCAGAAGAGAAGTTTAAGAAAAAGAAGCATAAGATCTTGCTAAATAGTTTAATGGAAATTATATAGAAGCATCTGCTTTAACAGGATCTAATGTAGTTTAGATATTTGAAATTCTAACTGAATAGATACTTTAAGAAATCTAAAGTGGTAAAATTGATCCACAAAATGAAGTATTAAAAATTACTATCAAAAGATTTATGGAATAAAAATAGGAGATTTTGAAAAGAGAAGAAATTCTGAAATTATACCTAAAAGTTAAAGATAGTCAGTTTAAGTGAGTTATCCAATTTAATCACAAAAATGGGAATGTTGTTGAATAATTGATATCATAAATTTAATTTAAATGTTTTCAAAATTAAATTTCTATATAATTTATTCTAAAATCTTTATATATAATTAAATTTATAAAATCTTAAAAAATATTAAAATCTTATTTTTTATTATTTCATTATAAATGTTTCATAACAAACTCTTTCATTAATTTAAAATTATCCATCATCATAGCATGTTCAATTCCCTTTAGTTTAATTAAATTGAATTCATTATCTAATTTAACTAAAGGTTATATGGATTTCTCAGCAAATTCATAAGGAATAACTTCATCCTCTTCACCATGTAATATTTGTATAGGAGTTTTATTATTGAATTCTGTAAATGGAAACAAAAATCCTGAATTTCCAAGTATTCCACCTAATGATTCTCTAAATAAATTTAAAAAGATAAATAAACTTGTATCCTAATCCTGCCAATAAAGACATACAACATCCTTAAGAAAAGCCCCCAATAAATATATTCTTTTTTGGTATTGGTTCTTAATCTATCAAACTCCAAATAAAGTTTCTTGATTCTATAGCTTAATCTACACCCCATAATTCTTTGTCAATTTTGATTCCCCAAAACTATTTCCAATTTGGAATCATTATATCATACCATGATGTCATCATTTCCCCTTAATTTTTTGTTAATGGTCTCACAGGGGCACATAGTAAAATAACCTTAGTAGTCTCATTATCAAAAGGGTTTAATTCTGGATTGTTGAATCCTGCTAAAAAACTATCAGGAACATCTTCTAATCCATGCATCTAATTTAAGATAATATATTACCCAAATAAAAGTATATTTATGTTCTTTCTTAGGATTAATATAGATATGTTTATCTACTCTTGTGATTCCTTATGTAAAATCTTTAGTCAGAGCTGGTATGAGTTCTTTGAGAGATAACATTATAAAATAATTAATAAAAGTAAAATGGGAATTTGCTCAAATAGACAAGAGCAAAAATAGATTTCAGAAAATTTAAGACTAAAAGCGATAATGATATTTTAAAAAATTGATGTTTAGAATAAGGGATATATTGATAAAGAAAGGACATTATAATTTTGGAAATCGAATTTTGCAAAAATAAATACAGATGCTTTATTTTCATAGGTTGATTATAATAAAAGTGGGAACATAACAATTTAAGAATGGTTGGCTTTCTGGGATATTGTAAAATAGTAAGGTTATTCAGAATAAGAGATATCAGATGAAGTATTTATGAAAAATAATTTATAATTATTTAGCTTGATGAATTGCAACAAGGGAAAGCTTGGGTGTAATATTATAAGGTTGATGCGTTTATCAGGTCAGATACTTAAAGACATAAAACATAAATTGATCAAATTGTATAGATGGAGAAAAAAACATTGCTAAAATCAAAGTCTTTTAATTATAATTGAAATTATATAAAGAATAAAGATGACTTTAAAACTTTATTATATAATTTGTAATTCAAAATTTAATGAGATTCTTATACATCATAAAATTGAATTAAAATCTAAATTGATAGAACAATTTTAGATGAATTGAATAGATAATAAATGAAAAGTTTAAGGTCAGATATATATAGGTTAATTGAAATTTGTATTATCAACATTCAATCATTTACGTTTTATTACTAATTCCAATTACATATAATTGATTTCTTCTTCACTCATTGGTCTTAAATTTTCAAGTAATAATTTCAGATTTCTATTTATTTCACCTTATTCAGATTTTAATAAATATGAAATTATGGCTTAACTGATTAATTTAACTTTTTAAATTGGTTTATCTTTTCCCCAACTTTTTTATAATGTTTAATAAATTAATTCTTCTAATTCATTTGGATTTACTTATTTATATAAAATCAACATTAAAATTTAAACTATTTAAAATACAATTGCAGGATTAATATCACTAATAGACATAAATAAAGTTTGAATAATTTTAACAACTAAAGGATTGAAATATTCTTAATTTTTATCTAAACATTAAAATAAAGTTCTAATTTATATAAATTAATACTTAAAAAAATGAAGAATTTCTCTTTACATTTCATATGAATTCAAAGTTAAGAATGCATCACAAATTATATCAATTATTTTTTATAAATAAGGAGATTCAAATAATACTTATTAACAACATCTTATGCATTCTTTAACATATTCAACATAAACTTTCATTAAATCTGGATCCTTCCAACAATTGAACTATTCTATACAAAATAAATGAATTTAATAATCATTTATTTTAGCCCATTATGCAATAAATTAATGATCAGTAGATCTACCAATAGCTTAAGTTATTAATTATAACCAATTATGCTTTTATATTGGATCTGAATAAAATATTTAATAGGAAATTTACAATAGATGAATTACTTATTATTAATTTTAATAGTTTGATACTTTCAGTATAATTCGAATTAATTTAAAAATTTCATCATAAAAAGTAAAATTTAATTATCCTTATAAAACAACAATTAATGGTTCAAATATTGATTATGACAATAAATCTAATAATTACTTTATTTAATCATTTTATTTTGCATTCAAATTCATCCATTAAAGTATTGTAATGACTAAAGTATTATTGTAATTAAATTCCTTTTCACTTATTTAAGCATTCTTTACTTATTAAAATTAATGATTTGCAAAATTAAATAACTAATATTAGTGTTATATTTACTTATATTAAACAATCAGGACTTCCTTATTCATATAATCTATAACACAATTTTATTATTCCTTCTATATAATTACTTATTTATGATTAATTAATAAACTCACTAAAATGTAATTCTAAGAATTTAACACTTTCAGAAATCAATTAAATATTATTCAATGTACTTAAATTACAAATCTATTCAAATGCTCTAATATAATATAATATATATAAATAAATACACTCCTGCTAAGGGTCCCAATAATGGATGAAGCATATATTTGAAAAAGTATTAAGTAATTTAAAGTAAAATCTCATTATTCAATTACAATTGATTAGTAAATTCACTAAACATTTATAATGATGTTTTAACAATAATGTCAAAATTTGAATGAACAGGTAATGATAATATAAATTGTATTATTTGTAATATTAGTTAATTATTAATTTAAATATCTGCTTCATCTATAATAGAACATAATGAAAATAATGCAGACTCACTTTGAATTATTTACATTTATGAATCAGGACTAGAAATTACTAAATTGGTTAATACAATCTGAAAGTATTAATCTTATTACATAGTTATTTCAGCACTTTTATAAATACTATAAAAAATATCTTTAGAATGTTCTCTAAAATCAGAAGTAGAAATAAAATGTTAACCTCCCTCATAATATTTAACATTATAATCAGTATCTTCTTCTTCAGGCTCTCCTAATAAGAATTCTTTTGTCAATTTGATTGTTTTCATTCTACATTTATCAATCATTGTTTATAATATATTTAAACCAAATCCTTATAATTTATTATATTCTCTCATTTAACTCCAAAATTCAAATGTTTAAAAAGCTATCTTTCTTGATGGTATACTTACAATATTACTCATCAAATTAAATACTGCTTGTTCATATTTTTAATTAAAAACAATGGCATAGAAATCACATATAAATTTAGTTGCAAATGAAGCATATCCCTTTGATATTTGAGGACTGTATATTTTTATTATAAATTCAAGAATCAAGTTTAAATTTTATAATACTTCAGAATCAATTTAATTTACATTTTGTTATCTATTGTATTATGAGAAAATAACACCTTCATTTAATAAAGCAAATAATTTATCACTATATTCAGTAGCATTTGTTGAAATTGTTTAATGTATTAAGTTTAATATTTATTGAATTAGTTTTAAGTCTTTGAATATATTAAATGAGAATTATACCCAACATTCAATACAATAAACTGTTTAATTAAATATACTTAAATCTTAAACCCATAGTAAATTTAGAAATATTTCTGATAAAGTATTTTCTTAAGTAATGAATTCTTATTACATTCTTAATTATTCACTTTTTTTATACCATTCTTTACCCTATATTGCAATTTATGTTAATATTTCTACTCCTATTGACATTTTAGCTTTCATTAACTAAATTAATTCTTACAATATTCTAGCATTATTATAAATAATACCCGCCCCATAATGATCGATTACCAACTATGATCACAGCCAAAGAAGAACAGATTTAATTCAAAGCAACAGATGGTAAAGGTCTGGCTAATAATTCTAGTAGATAGGGTTGAATTGAAATATTGCATTCTTCTTTTAATCTTCTATATATCATCTAACATGCTATGAATTAATATTCTTATTATATATTAGGTTAGTCTAATAATTCTTTTGCAATTCTAAATGCCTCATTACTTTGTTATAATTTGAGAATGTATTAATTTGCTTAATGACTAATTGTTTTATCAGCATTAGCTAGGTTTTAATATTATTGAATGAATTCTTATGTACTAAACATTTTAGTTAATTAATAATTAATATTTATCATTTAATTACACACATTTTTATCTTACAAATTTTTATGACAATTAAAAAATAGATGATCTATAAATTTGTGATAATTAGAAATGACATTCTATTTAAATATTGATTTTATAAAAATTTAGTATAAGATAGTTTTGATTATGAATATTTATATCAATAACTATTACATTTGAAAAAAGTAAATATAAAATATTAACAATATCATTAATAATTTGAAATTGAAATTTTTTTTTAATAAGAGCTTCTATAAATTAATTTCTTGATTAAAATTATAAAGTTATTAAAAATATCAAAAAGAAACAAAAAAATATTATCATTTGATATTATTGATTTATTTTGTAAGATCTCAATGAAGGTCACTTAGTATTATATATAATAATTTATTGATTGTTTATATTTAAAATACCAAGAAAATATTTATAACTGGCATGAATCAAATATTAATGTTATTAGCCAGCTTTTAAAAATTTTAGCTTTTTAATCTAAATTATCTTTTTTGTTTTAAGATTTATTACTTTAAGTTTATCTATGCTGCAAATTTCAGAATATTTATGATAAAAGGAGCATATTTTAAATATAAAAAAGATTTAATATGGGTAATGCTTGTTAAAATCAACACTAAAATGGCACTTAAATGTTAACTTAAGAGTAAGAAAGTTTTGTAAAAGAAGAAAATTTAAAAGTGATTCAAAACATGAGTCCAATTATTAAAAAACATGAATATCAACTTGAAAACCTAAATGAAGGAATAGGAGTAAGCACTATTACTGCTATTATCATTAAACCAAGAGATTAGACTTAAGTTCTTGAGATTTTACGAGGAATAAAAAACACTGAAACAGAAATCAGATATTTTAATCGATAGGATTATGGATTTGGAACTCCTTCTTCAAAAAATGACTCTAAAAGAAGCACAGGTGTAAAATCTAATAGTGAAAAGCATGTTCATTTTTAGATTCCTTAAATGAAGATTGTAAAACATGAATCTAAAAATTTGAAGAAACATGTTAAGAAATGAATAATTAAGTTTTATGTATATAAAAATTTAATTGAAATAAACAATTGAATATTAAATATTTTATGCATCCTAAATGAAATGGAGTAATTTTAATCTTTATTTTGATTCTTGAGTATAAGAGAGTGATATAAATGATATTGATTTATTATATTGATATAAGTATTGTGTTAAAGTATTAAGATTTTATTTAAATTAATTTCAAATCATGGATTAACCTTAGAAGGAAGCTCTCTGTATTCATGTACATTATTCATAGAGTGGGATCAAATTTAAGATGAAGAATCCCAGCCCCATAAGCCAGAGTAAAAACATTACACAAGTAATAAACCGAAACCTAAAATGCAATCGAGAGGGGAGATTGAGAGATTAATTGATGAATGTCCTGATGAAGAAATTCTACTTAATATTGTCAAATGTCATTTTGATGCAACCATAGAAGAAGTAAAACTAACATTTCCAAATTTTGAATTCTTGAAAATTGAAAATTACAATCCAGGCAGTTTTAGTTTGCTCTTCAAGAATAAGGAATAGGCTAAAGAATTCTTATTTACAACCAAAGAAACTGTATATACTAATTTATTATCATCAGAAAATTAAAGACAGAGGTTTTTGGATAAAATTCCCACCTAGGTTTTAGAAGTCTTCTTAAAAATTACCAGATAATCTCAATAAACAAAATGTATTACCTTAAACAGGAAGTAAATTTGTAGATGCTCCATAGAAGAATAAAGATCAATATAATAGAAAAGGTATAAATCATTTAAATATGTAGAACATGATGGAAAACAATTTAATAGAAGTGATGGATAGAAAAATTATAAAAAGAAAGATGAAGAGGATGATGTAATAATTTTATGAATAAAAAATAAGGGTTGGGAAACAGTTATGCCACATAGAATGCCAAAACAATATAAGCCATACAGAAAACCTTAATAATAATAAGGCTTTAAGAAAAATTGAGAAAATATATATCTTTTAACAAGTAAATATATTAAAATAATTAATGGGAGTACCAAATTTCTATTCTTGGTTATCTAAACGATATCCAATGTGTAAATACCCTTTCACCAAACATCATGGACATTAAATAGATTTTCTCTATCTTGATATGAATTAAGTCATTTATAAGTGTGCAACCAATTAAACCATTTTAAAAGATTATATGATTGAAAAGAGTGTCGAGACTCTATGGACATCCATATTAAATTACATTGACACCATAATAAATATAGTGGATCCTAAGTTAGTCATTTATTTAACCTTTGATGGTGTAGCACCAAGAGCCAAAGCTAATTAATAAAGATAGCGCCGATTTGCATCTTCAAAAGGTGATGCTAAAATCAAATAATTACTCAAATAATTGGATCTAGAGTAATAAAATCAGACTTTTAAAAATAATTAGATAACTGCAGGAACAGAATTTATGTATGAATTAAATGAACAAGTTAAATTTTTTATATATCGTAAATTCAAAGAAGATGAAAAATATGCCAATTTATAAGTTATTTTTTCAGGTAGTGATGTTCCTGGAGAAGGAGAACACAAAATACTAGAATTTATGAGAGGAATTAAAAACTAATAAAATTTTAACCCAAATTGGACTCATTGCATTTATAGTGCTGATGCAGATCTAATTATGCTTGGATTAGGAATACATCTCAAATATGTATCTATTATAAGAGAATCAAATTCTATGGATTAAAATAAAACCTAAATTGCTTGTAAAAGAAGTGTTGAAAATGTTAGTTTTGAATTAATCAATCTATCAATTGTTAAAGAATATATGGATTTAGAATATTAAACAATAAAAATGAAGATTCCTTATGATATTGATAGGGTAATAGATGATTTTCTTTTATTATTCTTTTTAATTGGAAATGATTTCTTACCTCGTGTCTATTGCTTTGATATTAAGTAAGGTACTGTGGAATTATTAATTGATACATTTAAATCATTTTTAGAATAATGTGATGAATATGTAACACAAGATGGATGGATAAATTGGAAATCAATGAACTTATTAGTTTAAGTGTTATCTAAATTTGAAATTAAAGCTATCGAAAAAAGATTAGAAGAATTGAAAAAATAAATAAAGGATACTGATAATCCAGAATATTTAGATTACTAAATGTAATGGGAAAGTGAATTAAAAATACTGGATGCTTTAAACATTTAATTTTCTAATAATAATTCTGCTGTAGCTAGAAAATTATTTTATTAAAATAAATGTTAAATAGATATAGATTCTGAGGAAGGTAGAAAAGAATTGGATAATATAATTTTAAAATATTTGGAAGGATTTTAATTTGTATTGAGTTATTATTATCATGGAGTACCTTCATGGGAATGGTATTATTGTTATTATTATTCTCCAATGTGTTTTGATATTTGTGCTTATTTAAGTAGAAATTAAATATAAAAAATGTAAATTATTTTTTAATTATAATTAGATAATTTGGATAGAGCAAACCTTATGATCCATTTTAATAATTACTTCTTATTTTACCTCCTCATAATGCTAATTTACTGCCTGCTCCTTTTAGAGTACTTTATGATATGGAATCTCCATTAAGGTCACCATTTGATTATTATCCTGATGAATATGAGATAGATCCATTTGGAGCCATATGGGAACATTAATTTATATGCAAAGTTCCATTTATGAATTCTGATTTGTTGAGTTCAGAATATTAAAAAATTGATAAAAGTTAATTAAATGAATTAGAGAAACAAAGAAGTAAATTTGGTCATGCATATTTATTTGTCCCAACTTAAAATAAAGGAAATTTAATCTAATCTATATTGCCAACTGTATATAATAATGCTAAATATAAAACAATATAAATTTAATTAAATGGAAATATATAATAGGATACTTAAGAAGTTTTATAAAGAATTAATATTTAAGATTAATAAGATAAAGAGAATCAATTACCTAAATTTCCTTCTTTAAATATTTTAAAAATTAATAAAACATGGTTATAAAATAAAAAAGATAAACACAAAAATCAAAAAGTATTAAAAGTAGAATTGGCTTAAAAAAATATAGAATTTTTAGATAAAATAGAAAGTTTTAGTGATCAAGCTTAAAAATTTAATTGTTATTGTGGATATCCATAAAATTACTATGGAGAAGTGGCTTTAGTAGTGAGTAAAAAATCATTTTTGTTTTTAAAAAATTATTAGCTTAAAAATATTTAAATACTTTCAGAATTTAGAGATGATATTTTAAATGAAGTTAAGGATGATATTTATGATCATTTAAAATATACAATGTAAACTAGATTAGAGAATTAGGGAATATTTTTAGAATAAATTAATGCTATAGCAGTTGTTTATTTTTATAAAGAATTATTAAGAAATTCAGATAGAACATATAGTTATAATATGTTAAATGTTAGAGAAGAAGTAATGCCATTAGAATGGATTTCAGATTAAAAGATTGTTAATTTAGTAGATTATAGATTAGAAAAACAAATTGATTTAATAAATTAAAAAGTCATTGTTGTAAATAATGATAAAAATTAAATTTGTGGATCAATTGGTTATGTAGAAAAGTTCGTTAATTAAGAATAATATATAATCAAGATATTTAGATAACCAAATTTATAAATAGATAATGATAAAATTAAAATGTAAAAATTTTATGATATTTCTATTGTATCTGAAAAATTAGATATATCTCCAGAAATAATTCATTATCTTTTAGGATAAATAAGAATTTTTATTGGAGATAAGAAAAAATAAACAGATATTATTGTTTAATAAATGGATATAGGTTTTAATGCTGTACACAAAGGCAAAAATTAATTAGTTCCTGAACTTTTAAGAATACATGAAGCACAATTTGATTCTGAAGGATATTAAAAGTTTAAACAATTTGAAAAAGCAGAACTTTCAGAAATCTTAGTAAAGGATTTGGAAGAATATGTCAAAAGATTGCCAGAATTGATAGTGTTTCTAAAATCTGTTGTATGATTATTTGATTTATATTTAAGGGTAAAGAAAAGTTGAGATCTCTACAATAAATTAAAATTACAGACATTTTCAAAGATGATGTACAAAAAGGTATTAATATTGTTTTGAAACATTATACTTGGCTACTTACACTCCCAACTTCACAATATCCTTTATGTAATGTAGCATCATAAACATATTCGAGTCAAACTATTAAAGCCTTAGAGTAATAAAAGTAGTCCAAAAAGGCTGAGAAATCTTTATTTACTCATAAATTTTGGTTATTACATTAAGAAAAGTTTTATGTTCCACCTCTTATGACAGAACACCCAAAAATTCATAAATTAGGAGATAGAGTTGTAGCATTAAATGTAAAAACAATTTATATTCTAAATAGAATCATTATACAAATTTTGGTGCTTATGGTATAGTAGTTGGCATAATTGATAATGGAGAAATAATGATAGAAGTTCTTTGGGATAAGCCTCGTTTTGGTTAAAAAGATTTAGGAGGTAGATGCTCTCCTTTGAGAGGATCAACAGTTCACTTTTTAGATATATTTAATATTACATAATAATGGCAAGAATAATTAAATACATTTAGTGGTGGTGCCAAAAGTCATTAAGTAGAAGGGTGGACTTATAAGTAAAAAGTATTTGTACCATCTTATGACAAACCTGAAAATAAAAAAAAGAAACACTAATAAAAATAAGCATAGACACAATGAAAAAAATTCAAAAATAAAAAAAATAAATTATTATATTCTAGTTTTCAATATTAAATATTATTTTAATCTATAATGATCATTAAAAATTAGTAAATTAAAATATTAATTAATTTCTTTTTATAATTATTATAAATTAAGTTTTGGATTATAAATTTTTATGTAAACAAACTTATTTGAATCTTCATGCTTATTATGTTAGGGTTTATAATTCAACTACTTTATTTGTTTCAGATTATCCTTTTCTTAGTACTTTCTAAGTCTTATTCTCTTATTTATTCAGATATTTAATAATCAATATCGAACATAAACTCTATAATCCAACTCCACAAAGTTATCCAAATGATGGAATTTGTACTTTATATATATATATTTATACATCCAAAGAGAAACTTAAAAAATATATAAAATGGAAAACACCAACCCAATTATGCTAAAGTAATTGTTGCAGTTTCTATAGCAAATGTTCTAATCATAATTGGAAGTCCCACTATTAGAAGAACACCTACAATAACAAAGAATATCCATTCTTTCAAACCTGGTTAAACAAGTCTATTAATTATTTAATACTTAATACCCTTCAATTGGAAAGAATAAAGGAATAAAAATTATAGTCATTAATCCTATAACATGAGTAATTGTAAAAAGATTTTCACTATCAACTTTCTTAAAGCAATCTGCTGAGTAACATAAGAACAATCCTCCTATAATAGAATATATTATTCCATTAAATTATAAGACCTCTGGATTAGAAGCCAATTTTTAAAGAGTCTCAGTAGAAAATGCAGCTCCAATAAATATACCACAAAATGGTAAAAGGAGCTCTTTTCTTAATGCTTATTTATATCTAAGGTTTTCATAAACATAATTCAAAGGCCATACACTTACAAAGAAGAAAACGGAGACAAATTTATCATTTTATTTTAAAGAGCATATCAATAATACTAAAGCAATAATTAAGGAAAGTGCTTAAATTATATTGAATTGATACATGCATGTTTAACTTTCCAATTTAATCCATTCTCTTATATATATGGAAGAATATTGCTTTGACTAATCATTTTAAAATTTGCACAAAACATAAGTAATACAGATATAAATATTAGCTCTAAATTTGGTAATGTACTTAAAATAATTTAAATAAACATTCTACCTAAAATGTTTATCTCTCATAGTCAAAATGAATGTAAGAACAGCTGAGACTATAATTACATATAAGCAGCCTGCTATTTTGTAATATTTATATTCAAAGTTTTCAATAGCATCAAAAATTAGCAATAAAACTCTTGAAGATTAATTAGACTCAAGATTTTCATTTTCATTACTGAGTTAGTTTAACTTTTAAGTTAACTCTTGATTATCCATAATTTAGGAAATTAAAAATTTTAATTTATTAATGAAAATAACAAAAGCATTAATAAAGGAGAATTAATTATAATATAATATTTTAGAATTCTATTGAAAATTTATGAATAGAATCATATAATTAATAATATAATATCAAAAAATTAATAATAATTTAGATTGATTATCAATATTTTCTAGGTTTTCTTTTTGTTGTTTTTCTTCTTGATTTTTTTGGTTATGAAACTTCTTCTTCAGGTTCTTCAATTACTTCTTCTTATAATTTATTTTCAGGTTTTTCTTCTACTTCTTCAAAGATACCCAATTCATCAAATAATTTAAACATATTTAATGAATCTCCTAATTCAAAATCTAATAATTCATCAATTAATTCTAATTCTTATTTATATTTATTTTCTTTTCCAACACTCTATCTTTTGTCTTATTCACTATCTGATAAATCACTATCCTAAATTTAAAGATTCATTTCACTAGAATTAACATATTAATTAAATTTATTTATATGTTTTGGACATATTTCAAAACAGAAGATTTCTTTTTCTATTTTTTTACTTAATCTTTTTTAAGATTTTCGTTTCATAACTTTCATTTAATAAATTTATCTTAAAGTCTAATTATTTTCACCAAAAATTTATTCAGGTTTAACAACAAGTTAATAAGCATAAAATAATTTTAGAAGAATAGCTTTTATAATTTAATAATCTTTTTCAACACTTAATTATTACAATTTTCTTTCTATTCTACTTAAAAAATCATCAAATCTATTCAATAAAGCCTTTAAAATTAATTTAATCTCTTGTTTTGATAAATATTATAAATGTATTATTTAATATAAAATAAATTAAGCTTAATTAAAGTATGTTCTACTATCAATCTTATTTAAAAAATATGATTCATCTAAATATAACAAAAAATCACTAAATTTTTAAGCACAAACATCATAATGAACAGAATGGCTAAATACCTAATTATTTGATATTGTATAATTCTTAAGTAAATTATCTAAACCAGTAAAATATGGTTTTAGTAAAGCATAATTTTATATCATTAATTTAATTCCCTTTGGAAATTATAATAACATATGTTCAGGTCTAACTTCAATACACTTTTTTAAAATTGGTTCAGCAATATCAGCATCATTCATTAAAGCTACTATCAAATAATCTCCAAATTATAGTGCAATAGAGAGTTAATTATCAAATAGTAATTCAATTAATTTTAAAACTAAAACCCTTATATTTTTATTTGGATGTAAAATATGTTATTAAAATACTACATTAAATATATCCTTAATCATAAATGCAAGCTAGCTTTTATCTACTATCTAACTAAATTATTATTTCTAAGCTTAATTATTTGCTTCTAAAATTGATTCATAAAAAATTTAATAAATTGCTATTATTATAGGTTCTTAAAAAGTATTTTCTTTCAAATTTTCTTTCAAAAATTCACTACTTTCAAACATTAATTAAGGCAATTTCTCCCACATCTTAGATAATGTAAAAATAATCTCTTCTTATGCAGCTTTTTCTTTAGAAAATTCAAGTAAACTATTATATAATGTCTACATAGATTCTAAAAAAGATTCTATATCTTTAGTAGTTTTAGTTATAAAATATTCAAAATATTCAAAAATTTAACAAAATCCAATTAAACCAAATTAAAAGCTAACAGGATTTTCTTCAGCTTTTACTAAAATTAATTTCATAACTATTTCAAATTTTGAATAAATATTTTCATATTTTTTTGTATATCTCAAATCTAATAATGTTGATAAAGTAAATATTGTCTTAACAAATGCTGTTTTTGGATGAATTTTATATATAATCTTTTCTATAAAAATAATTAAGTAATCAAGTTAATTTGTTAATTTTTTAGTTAATTAAAAAGGAATTTTATCATAATTTCTTCTACCATTAGAATTAAGATCTTCTAAACAAAAGACTAAAATCTTAAACAATCCATTTAGTATATTTACAAAAGGAGTATCGAGAGATTCTTCTTATTTATTCAAAAAATAAGATGTAATTTACATAATATTATCAATTTATTTAATGAAAGTTTATTATTAAGCATGATTTTTTTAATTTATTATGATTTAAATCAATTTTAAAACATTTTCTATTTAATTAATTTATTACTTAGTTTCTTTAACATCAATACAACTATTAGAAAGTTAAATAAGTCTCAATATAAATGAATGTAAAATTCCTTACTTATCAATAATTTTATTATTATCAGACAATTTATCTATTAAACTTTATATTCTATCATAATCTATTTTATAATTATTAGTCTCAATAGTTAATTCTAAAATTTTATCTGCAATTTCTTAATCTCTATTTTTTGAATCTGTAGCTAGAAGTAATAGTATCAATTAGGCTGAAATTTCTCCAATTTCTCCTTTTTCTTCTAATCTTTTTGAGACTTCTTCAAAAAATCTGATTTGATCATTAGATTATAATTCTTTAAATAAATCAATAAACTCTAAACAATATTTAATTGTTTTGGTTCTAACAAATATTTCAATATCTTGCATTCTATTAATAATAATGTCAAGACATGTGATTTTACATTCTTTCCATAATTTCAATAATGTTTATACTATCATTGCTCTAATTTATTTAGATATATCTTATGCTCTCAATTTTATCCTTTCAATTATATTTTAAGTATTAAATAAACTAAATTCTAGTATTTTAATAATATATTTTACAATAATTTTTTGGAATTTGCATTTTAGCTACCTTTAGACAATAATTTTCAAATTAATGTAGTACTTTTGCTCTAACCTAAATAGAATTATCTTCAAAAAAAGCTAATAAAATTAATTCAATATTTTAATAAGTTTAAAATAATTATTGGAATAATATACTCATATAAGAGAAATACCATAAATACATATGTATATCTTATAATCTATTATAATCAATTTACATTTATTCTAAAGATTAAGCAATTTCATCTAATTTTTATATGCTAATTGATTTTGATTTTTTATTTTGTTTTCCATTATGTAAACATTAAGTAATAAGATAATTTTCAAAATAGAGTTTCATCCAATTATTATTACTTTTGCATGCATGACCATATGTTATAGTAGGTAAATATACTTAATCTTCATAATTATTACTTAATTATAATTAAGTACAAAAACATCCTTTGCAACACTCAATTAACTTTTCTTTCTTTTCAGTTTCAGTTTCAATTAATTAATACATTTTTTAATCTTTATATTAACATAATAAACAATCTCCATCAGGTAATTATTTTATATCATAAAAATTGAAATAAAAATTAATCTAATATAATCTATCTGCATTATATAAGTTGATTACTAAATCTAATAATTTTAATTTCTATTAGGACATTAATTTTTTCTCATATTATAAATAACTAATAGTATTAGCTATCTCATTGACTAATAATGTAATCAATTAAGTTGAACAAAATATAGAATCTATCTTCTCTGGAATTTGAGTACTAAATGAAATAAGAAACTCACCTACAGCAGAAGCTTATGATTAAGTTACATAATTCCTTAATAAATCTCTAAAAAAATGTCTATAAGCAGCCAAAATTAAATTGTATGTTTATTATACTTATTCTAATTATGGAGAGAATACTGATACTATTTTAGTAATTAAATTCAATAATGGATGCATATCATCTATTTTTTGATAAGATTTCTTTGGTTTAGCTAATTTTAATGAAGTTGTTATATGTTTTAAGATTAATTCCAAATTAAAATTAGTATTTTTCAAAATAAACACAATAATTTCTATCATATCACTTACATGATAGTCCTTCATAATTTATTCAATTAATTTTGGTACAGTCTCTTCAGCCCAATCTTCATTAAATTAATATTCTTTAGAGATTTCATCCATTACAAATGATAATATTTCTGGATTATTAATATGATTGATAAACCATTATAAAGCATTATTGAATATTTAATGAGAGTTATCCAATTTATATAGTTTCATATAAGATAACAAGAAATCTTCATCATTTGTTAATTCTTAAAACTAATTTTTTTGTAATTTGAATTTCATTTTTGATAAAACAATAGGAAATTTCTCTTTAAAATACAACTATGCTTCAGAACTATACTCAATGTTTTCTTTTGGGTATTTTATTCCTTCATCCCCTTTAATTTTTGAACAAAGAAAATTGATATGTTTATCAATATTTTACATAATTATTTAATTTGATTAAAAATAAGTATTTATAAATAGGAATAGTAATCTCTCATAAACTTACCAGAAATATTTTAGATTAAAGGGAATTATTATTTTAATAATAAATTTTAAAACTACTTATTTACTAATAATATCTTTAACATAAAAAGAATTAAATTAATATTCTAATTAGCATAATAATAATTATAATTTTAATCATTAACAATTATTTGAATCACAAATCTGACAATATGATTCAGAATTATTTGCTACTGCTGTTCTTATCCAAAAAAAGAAGCATTTTTTGCATTTTTCAAATTTTACTAAATTATGATATCTTGAAACAATTAATTTAATTTAATTTAAGAAGTATAATTCAATAATGCTTCTATTTAATATATTTCTCAATAAGTTATTTTTTATTCTTTCATTACAACTAATACAATTTAAATAATATTATCCTTAGTTTATTTATTATTAGAGTTAATCTCTTAAACAGTCTTTATGATAACTATGTTTACAATTCAATTTATAATTATCACCATCAATATATGTAAAACATATTTTACATTTAATTATATCCTATACTGATTATCTTACTTATATTCTATATGAATTATAATTATTAATATTTGTATTAATATATCTTGAAGACAAATTTGGTAGTTTGTACTAACTTAATGAACAGTTCTCACTATTATGCAATCTAAAATTTTCCTTCTTCTTTTATTTCTTAAAGTTAATAGGTTTTAATAATTCCAGTAATTTATTTTGAGAATTTTATACTTATTAATACTCCAATAATTATTTATGAGGATTTTAGATTATCAATTCATTTATTGAATAAATATTTGATGATTTATCTTTTTATTTTATTGATGATTCCCTTGGTTAAATCTTTTATTCTAAAGTTTTTATAATAGGTTCTGATTTCTTGAAACTTGGTTTTATATTGATTTTCTGTACATTTTAAGGTAATGTCTTTTATTTTTTATAGCATTCATCAAAAAGTAAATCAATTAGAGTCATCCTTTCCCTTGAACTATTTGGAAGTTATTTTGCCATATTTATTGATCTAAACAAAATATATAATTATATTTTTCTTATTATTTAAAATAAAATAGTAATAATTTTGAATTAAAATAATGAAAGAGTCATTTATTCTTTTGAGTTACTTAAATAAATAATAGAATTATTTACATAATATTTTAATAAATAATCATTATTTTGAAGGATTTATAATACATAACACAAATAAATATATCTGAAAAATGTTCAATATAAATTTTAAGTCAAAAAATCATACTAATTTTAAAAATATATCTCCATAAAATCTTAATTTTAATCGTAATTATTCATCTTATTTTACTATTATAAGATTATAGCAAGTAATTTAGTTCGAATGAGTTAATTACATCTGCAATGAATCTATAATTTCTTATCATCAATTTATTAAATTATTAATTCTAATAAACAATTATAATGATAATGATGTAAACATTCAATTTGATAAATATTTTGTGAAATCTTTGTTTGACAAGAATAACAAATATAATCTATCTCTTAAGGTCTTGATAAGTCATTTTCACTACATTCACTTCCATTTTAATAAACTTAATCTTCTTCATTAAAGGGTTCTACTGACATCTTAGTTGTTACTAGATCAATTTATAGATTTTCTTTTTGTTATTCATATGTAATTTATAAATTTTCTAATTGTTATTCATATGTAATTTATTGATATTATTCATTTGTATTTTATAAATTTTAGTTTTGCTATTCTTATATTATTTATATATTTTATTAATGTTATTCTTATGTATTTTAAAGACTTTATTGATTTGATTCATATTTATTTAATAGATATTATTGTTGTTATTCAAATGTATTACTATTAATTTTATTATTCATCCTTTTTCTATTAATTAGATGATATTTTTCATGATACCATTTATTTTTTGATATTTTATTTGCCTCAATTAATTTTTAAGAAGACACTAATCTAAATTCACTTTCATTTTATTTTTAGTCTCTTTTGGGTGAATAATTACGATGGATATTTTTCTTTTATATCTAAGGTTTTGCTTTATTTTTGCATATCAATTATTTTATTTCCAAAATTTTTTCATCAGAACCATTCAGAATTGAATCGCTGTGATTATCATCAAAAAATGAAATAGAAGGCTATTGACAATAGCTATCTTTTATAATAACAGATTAATCTTATAAGCTTTATTTAATATCTGATTCAACTTTTTCTTTTTCTTATGCTTAATCTGAGACTTCAATATTTTTTTCCTTTTCCCTTGATTACCAACATCCCATTTTTTTGGATATGATTTTAATTTTAATAATTTAAATATAACTCTATTAATATTATGTATTTTTATAAAATATATTAAGTGATAAATGTGAAAAGATATCTAATGAATTAGATATATTTAATAATAATTCAATGAAATTATTAATTTTTATATAAAATTTAACAGTACTTTCTTAATTATTATTTTTTTTTATATTATACTCATCTAATTTTAGCTCTTAGGGCTTCGATTTCAGCACACATAAGAACTATTAATGATTACAAATCTTATATTTATCTTTTTAACATTCTGTCATCAAATGGTTTAGCATTTCTAAGTTTTTCCAATTCTTTCAATAATTCCTGAATTTATCTTTCATAATCAGCAATAATATCAGAAGGATTAACTTATTATTTATTATTATTATTATTATTATTATTATTATTATTCATTTATGATTATAATAATTATTAAGCTTTTAATCTATCTTATGCCATTTAATTCTATATTTCCATATCCTTAAGTTGTCTTTCTAATTATTTAATTCTATTTTCAGCATCTCTAAGTTTATTGAGTGCATCTTATAAATTATCTTCAGTTTCTCTTAATTATTTTTAAAGACTATAAATTAAATCTTACATCTAATCAACTTTTTATTAATCTACTCCTTATGGTACATTTTAAACTACTTATTTAGCATTTTATGCATCAACTAATTATTTTTTTAATTTTTCTATTTCTTCTAAAGCTTTCTAAAGATCAAATTCAGCTTTCTTTGCTTTTTTTTCATTTGCTTCAGCAGAAGTTCTCAAATCATCATTAGCTCTTAATTAATTATTATATTTAATGTTTAATTCATCAATTTCTTATTGCTATAATTAAATTTTATTATTCAAACTTTAAATCATTTATTGTAATCTTATTATTTCTGTTTTTTAAATCAGAATTTGCTTTAGAGCTTTTTCTGTTGGTGTTTCTGATTCCAATTCAGCTAATCTATCTTCAAGTAATTTAACCTTATTTCTTTCATCTTCTAATTCTTATAATGTTTAATTAAGTTCTATTTATAGTTATTAGTAATCAAGCTATTTTTTTGTTAATAAATCTTTTAATCTTTCTACTTCCTCAGCCAATCTGGTTGCTTTAAGAACCATATCTCTATTACTGAGTTCAAATTATTTGTATTCTTATAAAGCTAAATCTAAACGTTATGCTTTGTTTTTCCATTCCTCTACTTCATTTCCTTATTGAAAAACGATAACATTTAATCTTTCTATTTCTGCTATCAAAATATCATTTCTATGATTCGCATCTCTTAATAATACTTCTGCTTATGTAAATTAATTCATTCTATTCTCCATTTGATTTATTTATGTTTTATAACTTGATATGATTTATTTGTATTAGTTGATATCCTCCTATTAATCTTTAATATTTATCATAACATTACGTTTAATTATTTAGTTTTAATCATCTATTTGAGCTTAGAGATCAATCCATTTTTCATTGTCAAGAGTTTCCATTAAATTGAAATAATAAATTTTATTTAATATTTATTGTAAAATTTTTCATAATCATCATCTTCTTTGATAATTTAAATGGGGTTAATTGATGTATACAGTTTATTACTATTAAGGATATTAATGCGTTTAAGTTTAATAAACTTACTTTTATTAGTTGGTTATATGTTTTGATTATGAAGATTAAAATTATTATTATGGTTGCTATTACTATTATTGCTATTATTAATATTATTATTAATATTATTGTTATATTAAAGGAGACTATTATTATTAGGGATTTTGATTATATTTATATGTTGGATTTCCTTTTTATTGTACTGTTTGCATTACAGTTTAACCCTGTGGTTTTAGATTTTGTTATTTTAATAACTACTAAATCACTTTTTAATCGATTAATGGTTAAGATTTAACATCCTTTGATTATTATAATTATTTAGAAGTGCTATTAAGTTAATTTTTAAGTTGTTCATTTTTTTATCTTTCTTAGTTTAGTTCTTGAGTTAGTTATTATAATTATTTATCTTTCTAGTCCAAAGCTTCTTTTAGTTTTTTTATTTAATTTTCTTATTCTTTGATTTATTGATTATCCTTATTAGAAGAATTGTTACTATTTTTCTATAATTCTTCTTTTGATTTGATGATCTATCTTTCATATGCCAATCTATTCAATTCCATTGTCAATAATAGCATCTTAGGATCTTCAGGGATTTGTTCTGGTTATTCCATTATAATTTATTTATTTATTTGTAATAAAAGTATCACGTTAAAATGATTTACATCAAAATCCAATTAATTGATCTCATAATTTTATGCTTTTAGACGAAGTTAAAAACCGTGTAAAACATTGAGAAGAATAATAGATTTTGTAATTTTATATTTAAAGACACAATTAAAATATATAATAAAAATTTTCATTTATTGAGATTATTAATCAATGAATTTCAAACAATTTTTAAGAAGGACTCTTTTTAAATCATTGAATATTAGATAACATAGACTGGATTCATGTTTTTTATCATTGATATTAATATTGATAAAATCGAGTAAATTTTTTAGATGATTTATAAGTTCATCCAAAATTTATCAAATTTTACATTTAAATTTTGAATCTATGATTAAGTTAAAATTAATTAATGTTTTCGTTTTAATCTATCAAAATGATGTTTCAAGAAATGTATGCCACTATTAAAATTAGCAAGACTATATATATATTCATACATTTGATTTAGATCATAAAATTTACTATTCTTTAAAGGATCATTCAATTAATTCAATAAAGAAGGTACTATATTAAGAATAAAGAATAGATAATTTAGAACAATAAAAGTTAATTTGATTTTTTGTTAAACATTTCATCTTAATAAAGAACATCAGTAATTAATTACAGATAATTAACACTACTTAGGTTATTTGATTGTAATAAGGAATATTTTACATAGATTTTAAAATTATTTTTATTATTGAAGGTGAATTTGTTATGAAAAGAGTTGTTAATTTAGATTCTGAAATGAAATTTATTCTTTTAAACTTTGATTGATTTTCTAATAAAAAAACTGGAAATTTATGCATCATAGATTTTGTAGGTTATCTTAGATTATATAAAGAACTTAATAGAAAAAGATCATTTACTAATAGGTGTAATTTTTGAATATGTAAGAATAAGATTTGAATATATATAAGTAAATATTGAGTTTCTATTTTTAAATATATTTTATACAATAACACAATTATCTATCATAACATTTAATCTATTAAATATTCCACAAATATCTTTGCATTAGGAGTCGAAGCGCGTTGTGCTATTGAATTTACAAGATCATTTCTCTCCTAATGCAATAGACTACTGATTTTTTTTTATTTTTCACATAATATTTCATAAGACTCATTAGAATGGTGGTTTTACTTATTTGTTTCTTTATTTTATTCAGTTATATTATTTTATTAATCAAGTACTTCCCACCTATATCTTAAATATTTATAATATCGGTTCTTAACCATAGCCAAAGTTTTGCCAGGGAAATGCTTATGAATTTTTTAGAATTTTGGCCCTATACTTTGAACCAATTCTAAAATCAATCTATCCTCTTCTGGTGTAAATTTTTATCCTGGCTTTCTATTGCTAAGACCTTCAGTAATTCTTCTATAATAATTTTATTATTAAATACTCATATTTTTTAGGTTATTTCTTTTTTCCAGATAAGGTTCTATCTTGTTCCTCTTCATCTTCTTAATCACACCCATTTTCCTATTCTTAATCTAATTCTTTGTCTATTTCTTATTCTTGGCTAGACATAAAAATTAAATAAATTTGTTTATTATACAAACGCAATTATTTATTAGAAACATATATTATTGAACTTGTTCTCAAATATACTCTCTAATTTTCTAGAGAATTAAGAGAGTTATTATATAAATTTAATTTGACATTTATTTTATATAAAAATCATTTGTTTCCTAAAACTTTAACCATTAATTCTCCTAATCTCTAAAATTCTGTTCTGCTAACTTTACTATCATTATTTTAATCTAAATAAGATAACATATAATCAATTTCCTTTTTAGTTGGTTACTAATTTATTTTAGTATATAAACCTAGGAATTCAATTCAATTGCCAAATTATACAACAATGTATTTAATTCCTCTTTTTCAATAAATCCTGAATGATTTTTGTCATAACGATCAAAAACACGATTTGAGAATTCAGATACTTATAAACTGTTCATACTCAATTTGTATATTATTTTATTAAATTCATATAATATTATATTAGTTTTAGAATATAGTGATTTCTCATATTTTAAATGTCTAAATCTTAGTATCAAATCTCATATGCATTTCTTATATAAATGTCTTACTAATTTTGACATTAAGTGAAGCATCAAGCAACTCATCCCAATCTACTTCAAGCTCATTATCATCAATTCTATAATTTTATTGGCTTAGAATGCATATAATTCCAGTCATATCTTCACTCATTAAAATCTCTTAATGATAAAGAAGAAAACCAATAATCAATTGATAAATATATGTCCAACCATATCTGAAGATACAATCGAACAATTTCACTTATTTCTGGATTGGGATCATCATTCCGAATAATGAAAATAACCACGAGGCACAAAACATGTCTACTTTCACTCCATTAATACAAAAATGTTGGTATAAATCTGGCATTTTGGTTAGAATAAGATAATCAATTAATTAGATATGTTTCGATAAACCAGGAGACCTACTATTATATTATCTTACATAGGTGAATAAAGATCATTCATTTATAGTAAATCAATGAGTTTTCTGAGTAATTCAAATGCAACAAAATTATCAGAATGATAAATCAATCCAGCAGCAACAAAGTTCATTCCTTACATATAACCAACTATTTTGTTATATTTAGAATATGCAATCAAAACCTATTATAAATCTGATAATTTTTAAGGGTAATTTTTAAGTGGATGTGTTCTTTCAACATCAAGATTTATTTATTTTATAATCTTTGGTTCACATTTACTTTCCAATAAATTAGAGTATTTATTCTTTAATTTATCAACATCATAATTGCCTAACCATTCTTTAGCTTTTATGCATGTATTATTTTAATAAGGTAAGCATTTACAAGGATCAACTTCTCGAGTAAATAGTCTCATAATTTTATTAATAACACTCTCCTCTTTTTCTTTTGGTCTAATATCATCATATGTTAATGTACTGAATCCCTAAACTGAACATACAGTTTGGTTACTTCCACATCTTTATGGAACCTTAATTATTTATATCTACTAAATAAACACAACTTAATTACCTTTGGTTATTTTGGATAATGAATGGTTTTTGAAGCATCTCGAATTACACCTGTCACTGTAATATTTCTAATTTACTGGGTAGGCTTTGCATTCTCAATAGCTGGTTCAAATTTCCTTTCTAATTATCCATGAGAGGACCTCCCTTAAAATTGCTCGAACATTCGTTAAAATATTAATTAATTATAATATAATGCATTCAAGTCGATCAGCTCCCTCATGTAACTTATGATTAAATCTAGTAATGACTATTGAATAAATGTACAGTGTTGTGAGAGGTGAAACAGGCGCTTGGGGTATTGAAGGATATGAAGTCCCCAAGAAGTATTGTGACCCTCTAAAATAAGTTTAAGAAAGAGAGTTCTTTGCAGGCAAATTAAAGAAACCTCCCACAATTACAAAAAGAGGTCATTTCTTGGATGACATAGCCAAACCATTTAGAAATCGTAAGGTCCCTGTTTAATATAATGTTGAATACAAGTGGGTAAATGAAAAAGATAAGGAAAGAAAAAGGTATATGCATACTCATCTATTTTATTTAGATCAAAAAGTGAACTATTGAAGAGAAATACATTTATTGATGATATATTCCTCTAGAACAGTAAACAAAACTACCCTAAACCTGGGCCAGGAAAGTATGATGAAAATAGATCCATTGAGAATCAAGCTAAAAAATGGAATGGCAAAACTAAAATTCAATATGGAGAAAAACCAGACTTTGTCTAAGACTATTAACATTTAGGAGCTGTCTTACCAGCAGGTCCAGGCAGTTATAATCCTCATGTATTCATTATGATTTAATAATAAAGCCTATTCTACCCAAATTAAAACACAATAATACAAATCCAAAGATTATGATTGCTAAACATAAAGATTTCGATAAGTTTAAGTTAGAAATGATGAAAAATTATCCTAAACCTGATTGTACTAAATATAAGCCATGTCCTGTTGATTATAATACATTCGGTAGATCTTTAGAATTACTTTATGATAAAAAAAAAATAGAGCCAGCAAAAATTAAATATTGGGTATACTAAATCATTAGTTTAGGGTAATCCTAATAAACCAGTGACCAGAAATAAGTCAGAGGCAAAAGTTCCTCCTTAATATAACTTAATTGCCTATTGGCCTGGAAAAGATGATGGAAGTGCTAAAAATAAAGAGTTAAAAAAATTTAATTGGATGAATAAAGTCACAAAAGGAATTTAATAATCAATATATTATTGATAGAAAACAATATTATAGTCATTATTTATAAATAATTTTTATTTTAATGAATAAAAAAGCAGAGATATCCCCTTTAACTAGTTTTAATATATTTAACAATTATCTTAAAATCCAGAGATAAAATGAAGTAAACAAAATCCTATAAAAACTATATCAAATAAATATAAGCTTTTTCTCTTTGATGGATAAACATTTTAAAACATTTCAATAAAAATATCGGGTTTTACAAATAAATTGAAAAGAAGGTCAATAATTGCTTAATTATTAAATGAAGTATGTAAAATAAAGAAAATTTGATTTTGCTAATGGAAGATGCATAAGAACAATTCTTATAGATTAAGATTATTTTGTTAATATGAATATGGAAAGCACATGATCTATTCTTAGATTAGTTCATGAAGAAGCAAAATTTATTATAATAAGGGAAGAGTGTTTATATCAGAAAATAATTATAATAGATATTAAGTAGAAATTCTTGAGACCCTTCTTTATGATATAAAAAATAATAAATGTATTCATTTTAATATAATTGCCTCAATATTCAAGATATATTTTATAATTTAAATGGAGTATTAATAATGATAGATGGATTAAAATAGAATAAATTTGATCATAAAAGAAATTATTTATTAATTATATGAGTATCAATAAGAATTTCAAATGCTTGATCAAAATAATTGTTATTCTTTATCATTTATATGTAACTTAGATTGTTTTAAAATCGACAATAAATTATATTCAATGTTTTTGCTAAGAATATTAAAAAATTAATTAAAGATTTTTTAAAAATTTAAAATAATATGTAAATTTTTGTTAAGACCCTCACAGGGAAGACCATTACACTCGATGTCGAGCCATCTGATACTATCGATGCTGTTAAGGCAAAGATTTAAGACAAGGAAGGCATCCCTCCTGATTAATAAAGATTAATTTTTGCTGGAAAGCAATTGGAGGATGGAAGAACTCTTTCTGATTATAACATCTAAAAAGAATCAACTCTCCATTTAGTATTGAGACTTAGAGGAGGTGGTATGGAGCCAACCATTGCTGCTATTGCCAAAAAGTATAACGTTGAAAAAAAAATATGCAGAGTTTGCTATGCCAGGTATTTAATTATATATAAAAATTAAAAGATTACCACCAAAAGCCCACAATTGCAGAAAAAGAAAGTGTGGACACTCAAACTAATTAAGAATCAAGAAGAAGCCTAAGGATTGATATAATTATAAATAGTACAATAATAAATAAATATGTCTTATCATTCGAATTCATTTATTTTAATTAGTTATGAATTCTCAACAATAAACTAATCCAGAATACTTTCCACCTCCAACTTATTATTGTTATAAGAATGGACATTAATTGACTTGGAAATCAAGTAGTGGTCATCCATGTGCAGAATGTAAGATTAAAAATTGCAGATCTCGCTATTGGTGCTAATAATGCTAAGAAGCATTCTGTTTGCAATGCATGCCTCCACCTCTATTTGGAATAATGTGTGGAGCAGGACATCCGTAAACTCTTAATTACTATTATAAAGAATGAAATAGAGTATTGTACCTCATCACGTATGCGATTACTGTAGTGAAACAATTTAAAATTAAGCACATAGATGTTAGATATGTGACTTTGATATATGTCCAAATTGTCTACTGCAAAAAGAGGATTGATTTTTGTATTAAATAGTACAAATATTTACTTATAAATGTCTCAATTAATTGTCTTTGTGATTATAAATATTCATAATTGAGTTGATTGAGAGAAAATGTGCATTAAGCATCAAAAAAAAACATTTATATTATAATATATGAATAAGTTATATATTGAATCGATAAAGACATCAGCAGAATTGATACCTATAGACATTTATTTTCTTCTTAAAATAGGTGAACATTGTTAATTTTCAAACATCTTAAGTGTACATATTACTATTTAGATATATTTTTTAGTTGTAATAGCAATCTTAAACATGCAACATGTGCATTTAATATTAAGCTAGAGAAAAGTAACCAATTTCTATTGAATGTTGGGCATATGATTAACACTTAGTACCTAAAGCATTCTTTGGTAAAGAGAAATTGACAAATACAACTCGCAAGATCACATTAGATGGAATGGAAATTTAAATTCGTCAATCTTAATAGGAAAGAAGCAGAACCCCAGAGATCGCTATGAAAAGAGATGCTTCACCCTTTGGTAAAAGAGATTTAACTCCAAAAAGAGAGAAAAAATGATCTATACTCATCTTTTCAGGTGGGGTTGTAGAAGTTATTTCAATATCTTTTTTAATGTAAATATCAAATCGACAAAATTTGTGTTTTCTTCAATGTCTATATATCGAGATGAAAGCATATTGAAAGGACTTCTTCGAGATAAAACTATAGAGTAAGGGGCAGAGTTACATTTATTCATATTGGTTGAATAAAATGTGAGAAAGATCATTCAAGTGAATATTAATAAGATGATTAGGAAGCAATTAAATATCAAAGACACTTCAGAAAGAAGTAACTCAATTCTTAAGATATTGAATTGGCTATCAAGGATCAAAATTTACTGAAGGTATGGTGACCTAAATCATTTTAGTCTGAAATCTATGGATTTTAATATATGGATAGTATTAATTTATCCAAAAGAATGGATGAGTATGTTCTCAATGATCAAGTATAGAATCTCAATATTCAAGAGCTTGGATTTAAGAGATCTAATTTCGCATTAGATGAGGACAGTTAAAATTCCTCTAGGATTTCCCTCTCTTTCCATATTCAATGTTATGAAAGATTATTAGATGATAAATTCTTAAGAGACATAATCCATAAGTAAATGCTACTCAATTTATTTAAGTGCAATACAAAGATATCATATAAACAGAGTCATTCTAAAATGTGGAAAACAAAAAGTCTTTTAATATAATAAAGGATAATATAATTAGTATATTGACAATTCATTAATAATCTATTGTGAAAAATTTTAAGGATTTATTTGAAAAAGAAGTAATAAGTCTAAAATATAGTTTTTCTCAAGAATTTGTATAATGTAAGTTAATATATTATGATAAAGTACTTTCTGATTTGGAAAGCTACAAAGATGTTGCTCAAATAGTTCCATTTATTGTTCAATATTTATATAGTTAGTAGGATTAAGTTTAGCTTTTTTATTACAAACATAGATGTGTGATAGTTGAATGCTTAAATAGACTAATAATTAATAATTAGATTAATTTGGAATTTTAAGTATATCATATATATATATATATAATAGTTACATTAAATCCTTAAAATCTTAGTTAAATTCTTAACTTCTAAGATAATGGAAATAAATATAAAATCATAAATAGAACTTCAAACAAAGACAGCCAGATGTTTAAATTATTTGCTTGATAAATTTAATTTGAAATATTAAGCATTAAGGTAAAATATAGATAGAGTTATTTTGGATAAATTCGAAAGAGTTACTAGCAAAATTGAAAAGAAAAACTCACAAAAATCATTATTAAAGGCTTATTCAATTATTCAATACTTTGTTGAATAAAATGTTAGTGTTCAACATTTAAAATTTGTAGAATAAATGAGTTAATTGATCAGAAAAATAGAACAACAAAGATAATTAATATCATAACATAATACAGATTATGAACATTTAAGTGGATTAATATGTTTATCCTTAGGAGTAATTTATTTAAATAAAAATGATAGAGTATTTTGATAAAAATAATAAATGGATTGCAATATTTATAGCCTAATTATGAAAATCAAATATTGCATATTATTAATATTACAAGATAGTTGATGTTAGAAATGGGATTATATGAAATGCTTGTAATGCAATAGTATTTTGGGGAGCATATGATTTTATGATTATTATTACCTTAATTTTATTTGAACACCAGTATATATATTAATTTAAATTAAATTCAATGTCAAGGAGATACGACTAAAAGACTAATACTTTCACTCCAGATGGAAGATTAAAATAAGTAGAATATGCAATTGAAGCAATTAATTAAACAGGATCTGCACTTGGAGTGTTAACTAATGATGGAATGATCTTAGCTACTGAAAAATAAGAAGTATCTCATTTACTAGAACATTCAAAAAATTCTGAAAAAATATATCCAATCGATAGACACATATTTTCAGTTGTCTCAGGTCACACTGCTGATGCTAATATTTTAATTAATTATGCCAGAGAAGCTGCTGCCAATCATAGGTATATTATAAATCAAATTATAGATATTAGTTTTAAGATAATATTGGCTTAGAATAATTGATAATAAACATATGTGATTATAAACAGAATAAAACATAAGTAGGTGGATAGAGACCTTTTGGAACAGCCTTCTTATTTGCAGGTTATGATAAGGAAAATGGGTTTTAATTATTTAGTACTGATCCATCAGGTAATTATGCAGGATGGAAAGCAACTGCAATCGGAAAAAATAACTTAGCTGCAAATAGCTATTTAAAATAAGATTATAAAGATAATTTAACATTAGAATAAGTACTTTAATCTTAATATTTATTAGGGATTAGATATTGCAATAAAAGCATTAGTGAAAACTATGGATACATCATCTCCTTAGCCTTCTAAAATAGAAATAGTTGTTATAAGTAAATAAGGTAAAGAAGTAAAGAGTAAAACCTATAATGAAAAAGAAGTTTTAAGTTTGCTTTAAAAAAATGGATTTAGTAATGAATAAATGTAACAGGAATGATATATCCTACAAAAGGAAACATTAATTTGTTCATTAAATATTTATTTTAATTTCATTACTTCAAATTTGCTACTAATTTGTGAACATTTTCATTCCAATTCATCTTTGTACCTGTAATTGGTAAGGGTCTTCTCATAGCTTTAAAGAAAATGTCAGGCATAGAATTATATAAATTATCCATTCCTGCTTAATGCTTATTTTCTAATTTAGAGATTGTATGAACAATTTATTTGGCACTTTCACTAGCAGCTGACAAATCTACATTGATTCCTTCTGAAAATGTATTTACATTTTTTAATTGAACATTACCATCTTCATAATAATGTGCTTAAACTTTCAAATCACCTTTTAATTATGTTTTTGTAAATTCCCAAGTTGATATCCAACTTCCACAGCTAAAATATTATGGATTTAATATACAAAAAGTTTGGTAAATTGATTGTTTTTGCAGTAATTCCTAAGTAGAATGTATAATCTGTAACATCACCTTGATACATAACTAATTAAATGCATTTTAATTTTACCATAAGCTCCACAAACTTTATCATTAAATTATTAGCTCAAGTAAAGATTAAGTTACTATTCAAGTGCATCTCTTAGTGTATTTAGTTCTGGATCTGATGGTAATTCCACTTAAGATCTGGATATTATTTCTAATTTTTCATGATCCACTTAAATTGTCTCGTTGTTTTTTTAATCTACATAAAAGTCTTCCTAAGAATTCAGTACACTTGTAAGGATCTAAATACTCAATATAGACTATTACTTGAGTGTTTTAGCCTTTAATTAAAGCTAAATGTTCCTCATTATGATCCCTCAATGCTTATAGCATAATAGGATGCTATGGATTAATATTCCCTATGATTTTACACAAATCCTTAATCACTAAATTAGCTTATCCGAAAGGTGTATTTTTAACAATATACTTTACTACTTTCTCATACTATTAAAGTTCTGTGACTTCTTCTTCTCCTTAATTCATTATATATCTTTTATAAATTAAAATATAATCATCTTTATAGCATCATAAAAATATTCAATCTGTAAATCAGGTTTGTAGTGTTGTATCCGTATAGGTGTTCTAATCCTTTGAACAATCTACTCAGAGAAACACATTTAATATTAGAGATTAATGCTAATTGATTACTATAGAAATAACCAATCATCGCTTTATCTCTCACAAATAATTACAAAAAGTTAATATTAATATTTAATTTTAATAATGATTATCTTCTTAATTAGTAAATACTAAATATGATGTCATTTATTCTGTTTTTGTTTTAATTTTGAATACCAAGAAGGTCCTTCTTAATTTTTTTATTGACTATTTTGAATACTACCTTAAAATAAAATTTAATTCATACTCTTTTTTTATATGGCACTTTAAGGATCAATATATGTTTTTGTATTTAATGCTTCTGACATTTCATTAATGGCACTTCTTAAATTTTATCTCATATCATTTTAACTACCAGTGGCTATACCAATTAAAATGTTCTAAATATTTTACAGATTCTATCTTTTAATTCTCAATCTCTATAAATCTTCTTCGGCTCGCATGAATCTCTATTAAATTTATTTAAAACTTTATTACATTAGCAATATCATCATTTTCAGCTTTTAATATTTAATAATCCTAATCATATTTTTTTAGAAGTGACTTATATTTTAATATTTCTCTATCTTTTTCTTCAATATGGGCTACTAAATAAGAATGACTAATCAATATATCTTAAATTATTTACGGTTGATGTGTTTTGTCAAGAATATCTCTCTATAATTTGGTCTCTTCCTATAGTCTCTCAATTTCTGATATCTTCCCTCTTAATTATTTTTGCAATTCTTCTGATTCTCTTTACTTTACTTACAGTCTTTATGCTAAATTTAATGCCTATTGAATTCTCCTTTTTGAAGATGTTGGAACAGTGCCCATGAATCCCAATAATGGATTCATTGCATCATATTCATTACCTGCTGATTTCATTATAGCATCATCAATTTCTTTTTCAATTCCTTCATAATTTGTTAATTGTTCTTTTGCAACTTATAATTGAGCATTTATACTACACATCTATTCCTTTGCCTCTACTTAACATTTATAATATTCTGCCTTTAAAACATTAATTTTTTCCCTTAACATTTCATTCTCATGTTTATTAGCTTTAAGATTTGCCAAAGTATCTTCATAAATATTCTATACTCTATCTAATTCTTCCACCTTTAATCTCAATTGAATTCTTTATTCAGATAGATCTCCATCTAATTTTCTTTATAAATTTCTATAATCAATTAATAAATGATCATATAAAGTTGATTTTTCCTTCACTTGACCTTCTAGATTATCTTTTCTAAGTTAAATTTCTTCCTTTGCATCCTTCAAGAATTTGATCTAAGTCTCATAAATATCAACTAAATTCTATTTGGCTATCTCTAATTCATGATGATGTTTTTCTTTAAGATCTGCAATTTCAGAGTAAATTCTTTTCTCATAAGCCTAAGTCTAATCAGTTTTAGAATTGAGCAATTAAAATAAATATTCTTAAGCTTAATTTTTTGCTTCCAAATATTCCTTCTCTGTTCTATCTAATTTGTCTTCTAATCTCTTAACCTTCTCCAATAACTATATGTTCTCTTTAGTTAAATATTCCTTATCTTATTATAAAAGATCTCCCTTTCTCTTTGAATCATCCTATCCTTTGTATTGATCTCCTGCCTTATCACCAGCTTAATTATTTTGATAGAAACCAGACTTTTCTTCCAATAAAAACTTCTCTTATTCTAATCTTTTATAATCCCTGCTCAATTCATCAAATCTTGCACCTTTCTCTCTTAAAAGAGCTAATTCTTCTTAAGACTTAGTTAGTTCTAATTCTAAAGCCTTCCTAGCATTATCATAATTTAATTTATGTCTTCTAATATCTTCTTCTCTATCTACCATCATTTTTTATCCATGTTCCAAATCATTTAATAAGAATTAATGTTTTTCTGTTACTTATCTGAGTTCTTCTCTTAAAGCCATTATTTCCTTCTTCTAAAATTCACCCTCCTTTTTAAATGGATATACAATCTCCCAAACCTAAACCAATACCCAATCTTAAATAGGCATCTCCTTCTCATTCATATCCCTTAATCTTAAATAAACAGCTTCTGGAACTAATCCAGCTAACATATCTCTGACTTATGCTAAAGCTTCCCTTATTCCTGGTAATTGAGACTCTTAATAAATCATCTTAGACTTAAGTTATTTGATTTCACTTAAAAGTTTATCAGTTTCAATTCTATGATTAGCAAATATTCTTTGTCTATCAGCATCATTAGCTGTTTGAACCCGTTTTATTTCTGCATTTAGAAATGATATTTATTTCTCTTACAAACCTACAACAGATGAATAATTCTAAAATAGAATTAATCAAAATACATGTTTCATATTGACTGTGTCATGAGTGTTCCCACTTTTATTATGTCTATTCTATTAATAATTCTCAATATCAGGTATTGATACAGAATCCCTCATGCTATCTGATTCACTATCACTCATCATAACTTAGCCTTATTCGAATTGCTTTATATCTTCTTCAGAAAATGTAGATGGGTCAATATTCATTGATTTCATAAGTTTCATGATATCTTTTCTTTTTGTACTCATTTATCAGTTAATTAATTCAAATTTAGTTTTCGAGTTATAATTTTCAAAGATAAATAAAATTCAATAAAAAAGAATCTCTTTATTGATATGGTTCTAATAAAAATAAGACACAATTTTTCATTGAATTAAAATTATAATTTTCTCAATATCAAGAGAATAATAAATTTAGATTTCTTTTAAATAGAAAATTAAATTATTTTTTTATAATTTTAAATTGATTTTGTAATTGAGAATTACCATTTCTTTTTAACATATATTCTTTTTTTATCATTCTACATATATTTAATATTCATGTTAATAACATTCTTAAATCAACTTAAAATCTTACATGAATTTTGTTAAGTATAATTATTATTGTGGAATATGAAAAATTCAAATTTTAACAATATAATTAAAAATAATGTCTTCGACAAGAACTAGTTCTAAACATCAAAGAAAAAGTGAGAATCGTTTTCAACAATAAATTAATAGTCTTTTAAAAAATGTAATTCACCCACCTTCTCCTCTCTCTAAATAATGGATTAAGGATCGAGAGGGAGAATAGAAGAGTTTGTTTCAAGAAGTTAAAAAAAGTGAATTTAATACTAAAAATTAAACAATAACATAATTAACTGATATTGGAAAGAAATTAGAGAAAATGAAAAAGAAGTTAAGAACTTTCACTGCTGATGATCGTCTAAAAACACCAGTATCAGAGAATAAAAGTAGAAAATCAACCAAATCAAAGAAAAGTTAAAGTAAAAAGGGACAGAGTTCACATAGTTAATCAAGAACATAAGTAAAAAGTTTTGAACAAAGCAGAAGTAAATCTTCAAAAAAAGTTAAAAAATCTTTAAAGTCCTCAAAAACTAAAAATACTCCAAAATTTTAAAAGAAAACTTTTTAAAATAAACTTGGTAGTTTCTCTAAGGAAATGCAACTATAAAGAGATAGTTCAAGACCTAATGTTAGAATTTTAGATTCAAGAATTGCAAAGAATTCTGTTGATAAAGGTTTAAGGTAATTTATGTTATTTATGTAAGTCCCTCTCGTTCAATTGGGTCTTCAAAAAAATAATTTAGAAATCAAAGAACGGAGTCTGCTTGTTAAGAATCAAGTTCTTTGACAGATTCTAGTGATACAAAAGAAATTATAAAATTGAAAATGAATCCCAATACTTCATAATCTAAATATGAAGTATTTATGGATGATGACAAAAGAATAAAAGAATTTGAGGCAGGATAATTAAGTAGAGAAGAGAATCTTATATAAACAACTTAATTAGACACTGTGACTAAAGAAAAAGTATTAAGGGAATATAGGATTTTATATTACAAAAATAAAGAAATCAAAAAATTACTTACTGAATATTATGAACAAAATTTACGTTTGACTTAAGAAATTAATGAATTACAATAAATTATTTATGAAAAATAACTTGAAAATAAATAAGTTAAAAAAGAATTAAAGTTTTAAACTAAGGATATGAAAAATATGCAATCAGAATACAGTACAAAAATAGATTAATTGGGTAAATCTTATTAATAGCATTAAATGAATAGTGTTCCATTGAATGAATTTGAAAGATTAAAATAAGAAAATGATAGAATTTTAATAGAAAATGAAATGTTAAAGGAAGATTATAATGCAATAAGTCTTAAAATGCAACAAATAGAAAATGAGATATATTTAAAGAGATAGTATGAAATTCCAGGATAGGAATTTTCATAAAGATTACAAAGAGAATTAGAATCAGTCAAAGACTAAACTGATAGAATAAAGGAAGAAAATATTAAATTAAAGTTACAATTAGATAAAGAATATAATTCTAATCGAGAATTATCATAATAAATTAATTAAAAGAAACATGAGCTTAATGGAAATATTGAATAAAAGTAATAGGAATTATAATAATTGTAATCTCATTTATAAATTGCTAATACAAAAATTTAGAAATTAGAATAATAATTAACTTAAATGAAGTATCAATTGATGACAGAATAAGAATAATCATTTTAAATACGTGAAAAAATCATTCGATAAGAAGAAGAATTAAGAATAACTAATCTGAAAGTAGAGAACAGAGAAAAAGAAATCAATGAATTAAGATCAAAAGAATTAATTTAAAAAAAAAAGATATTAGATCTAGAATCTAAAATTGAAAATCAAATGTAATAATAGCCTCTATCTTATTTTGAACCTGTCATTACATTTAATAAACCAAATAATTCTGAATAATGTATATTAAATTATAAATAAATTAATAATAAGGAATTATAAGTAGAGCGATAAATATTAGCAAAGACTTAGGATTAATTATTAAATATTTAAGCAGAAAATGATCAATTAAAACGAAATCTTAAATAAATAGAATTAGAATTATAATATGAAAGGCAATAGAATGAATAAATCAAATTGAAATTCTCTTAATTATAATAAGAAAATGAATTTACTCTACAAAGAGTACAAAAATAATATAAAGAGGCTGAAAATTATCGTTCAAAGGAATTCTAAATAAGTGAATAACAATTTAAAAATCAAGAAAACTTAATGTTTTCTGCATAATAAAGAATAAATGAATTAGAAAATGAAATTAAAATATTGAACAATAAAGAGTAAGATAATAAAAATTTGATAAATGATCAGGTTATATAAATTGAAAAATAGTAATTAAAATAAGAGCAAAATGTAATAAAATTAAGTGAGCTTACAAATTAAGTTAAAATTGTTGAATATGAAAATGCAAATTTAAAGGAAAATAATTGTTAATTAAAATTATAAAATCAATAGTTAATAAAAGAATTAGAATAAATTGATAGGATAAAAGATAATTATAAAAATAAATATTTAAATAATATGTATGAAAATAAAAAATTAGTAAATTAATATCATGAAGTAATTGTATTCTAATATTTAGAAAGAAAATATTCTGAAACAAACATTTAATAATGAATTAGAAATAGTAAAATGTTAAAAAGAACAATTAGAAAAAATGAAAAATCAAGAGGAATGTTAAAGATAATAAAAAGATAAAAAGTTAAAAGTTATAAGTGAACTATAATAAATGATAAAAGGACATAAAATTGCATTTGACAAATGAAATTAAATTGATTATTAAATTAAGCATTAAAATCTTAATAATATATATATAATGTTTCAAGGTTTATGCAAGCCTTTTTTACAACCAGGATTGCAATCTCTACATTAATTACAGCATGTAAAATATTCATCTCCTCCACAAGTTCTACATGAAAAATACTTAAGTTTGCCTGGATGAAATATACATGTCTCATATAATATTTTTTAAATACTTCTTCATTAAAACCTTCTTTTAAAGTGATATTACAACGAACACAATTCCAAAAAGCCCCTGATTATCTTAAAAGTTTTGTTTCTTCTTCTATTTCCAATAATTATGCTTATAGTTTAATAATTGATGTCTCATCATTCTGAATTGATTTTAGTAAATCTTCACCCTACTTTTTTTTATGAATTGAAAAATTCTAAATTTCTTTATAAGCAGGATTTGTAGATATATCAATTTCAAAGGAATGATCTTTGCCACTAATTAAATCAATTAATAATGTTAGCTATTTCAGAAGATTTTTTTTTTCTTTTAAATAAAATTCCCATTCATCATTGTCCCTTCTTAATAATCGTTCTTCTCTTTCAAAAGTTTAAATTTTCTAATTAACTTAATGCATTTTATCAGAAACAATTGAAAACATTTTCTTTAATTCTTACTATTCAAACTAAGTAATCTCTATAATTGGTATAATAAATACCTAATGTTTATTGACATTTTTAGATTATTTTATTTATAGGTAAGATTTCTTCTCTCTAATCTTTTGATTTACTTTTATTTTTTTCCTATTTCATTTAATATTTTTTTATGAAAATGATGAATTATTTATATATATATATATATAAAAATACATTTATTGAATGAAATCTTCTGATCATTAACAATAAAATTCAGTTAGTTGGCTATTAAATTTAGTTGGAAAATTTTCTCCAAAAGATTTAGAAAAATCAAATTTAAAAGAAATTGGAGAAGAATATATGAAAAAGATTTTACTCTATCCTTAACTTTAATAAGGGAATGTTTTTAGTTACAACTAATAAAAATAAGAATTCTCAGAGAAACTATTTCTTATATATCCTAATATTCTAATATGTTAACATGATAAAATTCATACTCATTTAATATTGAGTAATTGCAGTATTTAAAAAGAGTTAATCTAATATAAGGAATCAAAAACTTATGGATTAATTATTTCTAATAATTTAGGTAATACCTACTTATTTTTCTCATAATTCATTCAGTATAGAAATTGGTATAAATTAATGAAACAATATTGTAAATTAAATGATTTTTTTGGGAAATACAAATTAACAGATAGAATGTTACCTGGAATATATTAATGTTATAAGAAATCTGTAATAATTTGATTATCAATATAGAATAATGCTTAATTTACTGTTCAAATTTATAAGATGGAAGATTTTGAATAATGGCCAGAAATAGAAGAAGTTGTTCATAATGAAATATAAATGCTACGCTCAATTAAGCATTAAAATTTGTTACAATTAAGAAGAGTTTATGAGGATGACTCATATTTATTTATCTTATATGAACATTTCAAAGGAGAGTCCCTATATAATTTAATATTAACAAATCCTCTACACGAAGTTCAAATAGCTTCAGTAATTAGCATATCTATTAAATTAGATTGTATATTAAATCTTACAACTACTTAAATTTTTAGATAAACATTAATTTTATCATGGAAATCTTAATCCTCTAAATATAATTATTAATTCAAATAATTAACTCCTTTAGATTTTTTTGATTAACTTATCTTTTAAGGTATTAAAACTTTTGTTATTTATAGCAATATAGAATAAATGATAAATTAGACTGGATTTTAAATAGATAAATTGAAGGATTTATAGCACCTGAATTTTATAATGGAGTACCACCAAATATTACTTCAGATTTATATAGTTTAGGTGTTTTACTCTATTTTATGACATTTCCAACATAATTACCTAATGAGAAACATTTTGATAAATATGAAATAGATACAACTAAAATTTAGAAATTATTGTAAAAGAAATTGTCTTTAATTCCTAATGATGGAACTTCTCCACTTGATAAATCAATAGAAAAAAACATTAGTTTAAGTGAATTAGATTTATTATCAAAATTATTAGAAACTAATCCTAGTATTTATTTCTTAAATAATAGAATAAAGAATTACAATATCTGATAGTATGAAACATCATTGGTTTGTGAATATTAAGAGTAAAATCAAATAGTTGAATGTTATTAAAAAGAAAAAAGTAGAATTACCTTCATTAAGAACAATAATAGAATTAAGATCTTAAAGTGAATTAGATCTTAAAGTTTAATCTTAATTATCCAATAATAGAAGATAGTCAAGATTAGGTTTAAATTAAGTTGATGATTTTGATGTAGGTAATCTATTAAAATATTAAAGTTAGTTCCTGATGAAGGACATCCTTTAGAGTAGGTAGCTGATTTAGATTTTTGTTAATTGTTAAGAAGTAGCACTTAATTAAGAAAATTATAAACTTTAAGTAATAAATCTATTGGTTGATTTAATTCGAATTTATGATTTATAAAAATATATATATATAAGATCTCAAATTATCAGCTATTTCAAAATATGATTTTCTTATCATACATACATATTAATAAAGATGAATTCATTATCTTTGCTGATACAAAACAAATAAATAAAGCTTTATTTGGAACTAAAGAATTTCCAGTTTATGGTCTAAAAAAAACTTAAATTTATATTTACTTTTAAAAAAAAAAATTACTTATTCTTAAATAATCCAGAATAAGCCTAAAAGGTATCAAAATCTTCAAATCATTCAATAAATTTGAGAATATGACATCCATTGGTTTATTTTCTAAAAAACCAGCAAAAAGATAATAAGGAATAGGAGCCAGAGGACTAATAACCTTGTATATAAAATGTAGTACTAATTTAAATTTTGGTGAGTATTGTCTCTATCCTAAAAATTGATTCAATTTCACATGCAATATAGAATTGAAATTTGTGGACATGAATCCATAAGTAAAATTTCTAAAATAATTAATTTTGAATGGATCAGATATCTTATTATGTAATTTTTTACATCGTATTCATCTTATATTTATTAAAATTGTTCTGAATACTTGTTTCTGTATGTATTATCAATGTATGAAGTTATAAAATCAATAGAAATGAATCCTATACCTACCAAAGAATATGATGCAATTCTCCCTGACAATGTGGGTTTTATTTTATACATAAATAAATTAAATATAATAATAAGAATTACATTATATATAAATATAATTATGTATTCATATCTAAATGATATTAATATTATTTAATTCAAATTAAATAGGAATATTTATTTCCTTCAGCTAAATATTTTATTGATTAGATTAACTAAATATGTATATATTAATAATAATAGTATAATTTAAATAAATTAATTAATAAGTATCATTCATTTACGAATTTTTCTTCGTCATCTGCATAATCTAATTCAAGACAATGTATTTATTTCGAAGAAAAATGTGAAGTTTCTTTATTTTCACTAATAGATATACTACTGATTATTTCTTCTAAATTCTTTAAAGTAATTGGCTTTATATAGACATCCTTCATTCCAGCATTCAATAAATTAATTAAATCATCTTCTCCAGAAAATCCTGTCAATCCAAAAATTGGAATATTGAATTTTGGTTGCTCTCTAAACAAAAATAAAAGTTATTTTGTTGCTTCTTACCCATTCATAATAGGCATTTAATAATCCATAATGATAGCCTTATATCCTTAACATTTATGTTCTTCAAATTATGAAATACTTTTCTCTATTAATTCTAGACATTACTAACCATTATCAGTTTTGATTGAATGATACCCTAATTATTTCAATAAAGATTCTAAGACAAGTAAATTATAAGGTTCATCATCTACTATTACAATTTTTTAATCGCAATTACATGGCGTTGACTAAAGTAATATCCTACTTCCACCACTATTTCTATTGAGACTTGGAAGATTACCTCCAGAATAAAACTAATTACTTCCCTTTTTATTATTATTAGTTAGGTTGCTATTTTAAAAGTTAAAAATTAGTTAAGGAGATCTCTTAACTTTATGAAAAATATTAGTTCGACTACTACTTTCTGGATCAGTCCAAACATTATATTTGTGACTAAAACTATCAAAATCTGCCACCTCTCCTTCCACTTAAATTTAAGAACCTTCTCTATTATATAAATCGCTAGCCATAAATTCTGTTAACTATGTTATTTTACATTTTAAATGTATACAAACAGTGGTTCCTTAATTAACAATCGAATCTATTGTAATATAGTTTTCTTCCTCTTTTTCTCCTAAAAATTTAATTAAAGTATTCGATGCTCTTAAACCAAGCATAATCCCTGAAGCTGCATCTGAATTCTACTCTTCAAAAAATTCTTCTTCATTTTTCAATAGATTTTATATTGATTCTAATTTTTATTGATTGATCCCATTTCCATTATCTTTAATTTCAATTAAATAATAATCATAATTATTAGTATTAGTATGTTGATTGTTATTTGAAAATTGACTACTTGGATTTATATATTACTTAAAAATAGTATTCTTTCTTAATGGAAAATGAAAAGAGCTTTCATTTATATCTAAAGAGCTTTTAAAATGTTGAGAAGGATTCGATGATATTAATTTTTTTTCATATTCTTTTGAATTTTATATATGTTTATCTTAACTTTCTTTACTGAGAGTGATAAATATTTAACCATTTGATTTATTAAATTTCAAACTGTTGGAAATGATATGGATTAAAATACTTTATAATTTTTCATAATCTAACATCTCATATTAGGTTTAATTAATTAATTTAAAGAAAACTATTTTAACATCTTTTAAGTCAGCTTCTTCCTAAAATAAATCTATTGTTTCTTAAACAACTTAAATTAATTTACATTTTTATATTTTAGTAACTAACTTCTTTTCTCGAACCAAGTTGTAGTCTATTATAGAATTTATTATTAGGTTTTGTATTCTACAGTTATTGAAGGCTGCTCTTATTAATTTATTTGTTTCTTTATCAAATAATTAACTTTTATATTAGATTACTTCAAGAAAACCTTATATAACATTCAATCTAGTTCTAAGTTCATGAGAAATTGATCTAATTACCTAACTTTTGAACCTATTAAGATTTTTGTAGTAGGATGATTTGAAATTAGGGGAAATATCATAGAAATTTAATAGAATTGCATTCTTATTCATTCCATATTGGAGCCTTGTTTTTATTCTGACTTCAATCATAGCTGGATATTCAGATATTTAACTATTCTCATATTAACATTACAATAAATAAATGTTTCCATTTGACAAACTTTCAACATTATTAATTATTTCAAGAGCTTAATTTAAATTAATTTAATGTAAATAATTTGTATCTTTAAATTCTTCAAATTTATTCTGACTCTCTATATTAAATTATTCTTGTAATTGTTATGTATTCAAATAAAGTCCTTCAAAAAACTAAATAATCTCATTTAATGAGGAAGTAATAAAGGATTCTTAAGAAGACAAGTTCTAATTTTAAAATACATTAAGTGATTTAGTTCCAGTCAACACTCCATTATTAAATTAATGCATCATTTTTTTTGTGAAACTATTTGTAAATAGAACATCTTTGCTATAAGAATCAAGGACACACACTGCACTTGGTATGCTTCTCAAAGTTTAATCAGCAAATTATGAGACTTTACTAAGACTAATTAATTGTTAATCCCAAAAATAGAGTATCATTATTATGAATATTATAATATTGAGGGTTTGTAAAGATTTAAAATGAAATGTGATATTTCTGATAGCAAAATATATGTAAAATTTCAGTAATAAAACAATTCTTAATTTAATCGTTCTTACTATACCTAGTATCAATAACAAATTAATAAACATTTAACATATCGTTAAGATCTTACCATCAGATTCATTAGATATAAAGATTTCTGTTAAAAATAATTAAAAAGATGTCTCAATCAGTATGAAAGTCAAATTGATTAGTGTTAAACGATGCTATTCCTTTAAATGTGTAATAATATTTCCGACTATATACACCAATAATAAAACTCCAACAAAACAGATATATAAATAATAGGTAGTTAATTATGTGTTGAAACTTTAAAAGTACAATGAATTGTAAACTATAATGTATACTAGCCCAATTATAGCATATATTTTGACTAAATTAATAAAAGCAGGCCATATATTCTCAAGAATCATTTGATTATGTTAAGCTATGTATCTCTGATTGGTATAATCTTCAATTGTAATCAGAATATGCTCTTTTAATTTTTTTATTAACATATAAAAATTATTCATAAGACCTAGTTTGACAAATGTCTAGACTAATAATTTTAAAAAATGAGGTCTTTTTTGAACAAGGATAAATTCAAAAAGATTTCCTATCAAAAAATAATAAAATTAATATGCATTTATCAAGAAATTATTGGTTCTTAGATAAACATGGCAATTTATTAACAAATATATAATTAATTAATAAAATTAAGTTATTACTAAATAAATAACAAATTTGAGCTTGATAATTAAAAATAATTAATAGTACTTAATTGATTTTCTAAAGATATAATTTATAAATTAATTAATTAATACATTTAATAGCTTTAATATATTAGCACTATTATTTTATTACAAAATAATACATAATAATATTCAAACTTTTTATTTCTATATTATTAATTAAATATTACATTTTCTCTATCGGTATCAAACTCTTAATTATTAGTTTACTTTCTTCTTCTTCTAGTCATTTTGGTTTATTTAGTTTTATGATCAGAATTACTTGCCTCATAACCTTCTTCATCACCTTCTTCAATTTGAATATCTTTATCTTTTTTGCTTTTTTAATACTAATATTGATTTAATATTATATACCTTATTCTTATTTTATTCATCTTCTTCACTTTATTATGGAGTTCTTTCTTCATCACCATCATAATTGAAAATACTAAAAATATAATTATTAAAACCTTTTCCTCTCTTTTGTTTAATATCCGCTCTAAAATTATTCTTTCAATACTTAAGTCTAGTTTATCTAATTAAATTACTAATAAATTAATATACTTCTTGAATAGTAGAGATTTCAATGAACTCTTAAATTTAATCTAACCATTAATTTAAAGTTAAATTCTAAATATATGGGTTATCTTTCAAATCATTCAAAAAGTTTAAATATTAGTGATCAAGTATTTATTCTTAAAAATATGTTTTAAAAGAATCTTAAGTTTAAGAGATTAATTTTTTGTCATCTTGTTATTCATTTAAACATAATAAAGTTTCATAATTCTTTCTGAGTACAGTGACATATTGTTATGATAATTTTGTGGAACAAATTTATTCTGCATTTAATAAGGCAATTGGTCCATAAACAATAATATTGGAAAAATATGATATTATATTACTTATAATATAATAGAATATTACTTAATTATTTACTGTTTTTGGATTAAGTATGCTTCACATATTTAATTGTTCAATTAATTGTCCTTCAATAATTACAAAAATTAATCTTAAATCATTTTAATATAATTAATAATAAATAAATAATCATAAATTCATAAATATCTTCATTCACTGCTTGAAGATAGATTGATTTAAATTAATAATTTTGTATTCCACAATTTAAGGCATTCTTAGAGTGGAATTTATTATTACCAATTATTAGTAATTGATTAAAAAGATTTCAATCTCAATTAATAATTACTAGGCTAATAGAAAACAGTTTATGATTTGAAATCTTTCTTTATTTGCTCTATACTTCTGCTTTCATGAATAAATTAACATCTTGCTCCATAAAAACATACCTAATTATATTATAGATTTAACATATTCTTAATGGAAAGATCTACATAATTTAGATTTATATTTAATATTAGATTGTCTAGATATCTTCTCATTTTCTCCATGAGCAAATTAACATTTATTACTATAATTGCATTTACCAAGAAGACTCCAATTTTTACACATTTCTGTTTTGAATTTAGTATTACTCTAAGATTCATCACTAGAAGAAGTCATTTCTTCAATTGGATCATCATCTTAAACATAAAAATCAGTGTTCATTGTTGTTAAAGTAGCTACAGTGCTCATAGATCCTCTTTTGTCTAAATCTGGTTAATCATTAAATGAAAATCTTTTAGCATTTTTTAAACACTTTTGTGTCCATGTAGGTTAACTGGGAATATAATTATTCAAATCAGTGTTCAGTGATCGCCTAATATTATTAATAATTAGAACCTTTCTGAATTTATTTTTTAACTTTTATTTTGAACAGAGGTTCTTTATTTATAAGTACTTATCTTATGGACATCTGACATGAACAAGATGAGTTTATTTAGTAAACAGAAAGGAAATGTTTATATAAATAATATATAGATTTTATATTAAAATTATTATCAATGATTATCAGAATGCATTTAAACACAATTAACATGGTTTATAAAATTTCAAATAAATTGGTTGCAAAAGAGATCACTAAACTATCTTCAATGATTAAATTAAAATAATCTGTAGAAAATGTTTATAATTCATTACATTTTTATAAATACTTAAATCTAATAAAGGATCTATATAATTATTTAATTTTAGATAAGCTCTAACAGATGATGATATTAATCAATTTTTATCTGAATTAAAAGAAACATAATAATAATATAGATTTGGATTATTATAATATATTTCTTTTTTAATTTATAATTAAGATAGGAAGAGTTTAGATAATTACAGAAACTAATTTATTCATTTAAAAGAAATCAAAATAACAATGTTTAAGTAATGTTAATCAATTAGAATTTCAAAATTAATGATCAATTCTTTAAAAATTCTTATTTATTGAGACACTAATACTTAAATATCTATTGCCTTCTTTAAAAATATTCAATTATTAAATTAAATCCTATTCATATATTAGAATTCAACAAATTAATAATATCTAGTATAAAATTAGAATCTTTAATAATTTAATTTATCCTGAGATTAAAATTAAGAATTCCTATCAACTAAAAATTATTTGTTTAAAAATACAATTTTTGTATACAGATTTTAGATCATTTACAATCATAATCTTATCTATATACATCAACTAATCATTTGATAAATTCAATTATATATATCTAATTGATGGATATTAAAACAAATCATCTTAAGTTTTCTTAATTTTCTGCTTTTTCCTTTAAAGTTACTCTTATTATTTTATTTTGATTATATTATTTTGATTATTCATATTGATTTCACCATTTATTTTCTGAAATATAATGAAGTTACTTTTTACAATTTTATCTTAAATTCTTGTAAATTTCAGTTAGCTATTATTGTTTGACTATTAATAGGAGATTTCTTAGTTACTAATTTTATTCAAACTATTAGTTCTATAGAAATCTTATATTTTACTTTGATATTTAATATTATGCAATCTTAAATCCATTATTATTAATTGTGATGAACGAATAATTCAATTAGGCTCATTATGATATAAAACAGGAGATCTAGCATTATGAACATGACTTGGATCATTTTTGGACAACTCTAACCGGGTATATTACGATAATAAATTAAGGGCTATTGTTCTGATTATGCAGTTAGGGTTTGCATTTCTAGAGGGAGGGTGTGTACGATATAGGAACATTCAAAGTATCATAATCAAAGTTTATGCAAACACTGCCATTAGCATAATTATGATGTGGATAGTATGAATAAGTTAAAAATTAGGTTGGATATGGATTAATGATGGGTAAGACTAACGACACATAATTTAATGGAATAAGTGGTTTTGCAGGTTTCAGATTTAAGGATCATCCTGAATCTTATGCTGATTTTGTATTTAACTCAGCATTAGCTGCTGCAGCTAATAGTATAGTATCTGGAGGAGCAGCTGAAAGAATGTCAATACCTGGTTATATTGCTCTTAGTGCATTATTTTCTGGATTTATTTATCCTATATGTATACATTGGGCATTTAGAGGATGGTTATATGATATGGGTTATCATGATTTTGCTGGAAGTGGTGCTATTCATTTAACAGCTGGAATTGGAGCACTTGTTGTTACTTATATGTTGAGACCTAGAACAAATAGATTTAATCCTGAATTTGAATCTTAATTTAAACCTTCCAATACGACATTTATTTGTTTATCTTGTTTGACTTTATACATGGCTTGGATGTGCTTTAATTCAGGATCTACTTTAGCTTTATCTAATGGTTCAGTCTTCACTGTTGGAAATTCAATTATTAACACTATGGTTGGTGGAGCAAGTGGAGGATTATTTGTATTCTTCTATCATTATTTTACTAACAGAAACACAGATAATCGTTTTAGTTTAGTAATGGTTTGTAATGGTAATTTGGCAGGCCTAGTAGCAGTCACAGGGTAAATATTAATTATAGTTATTTAGATCAAATGATGAAATAGAATAATGGGCAGCCTTTGTAATTGGGATAATAGGAGGAATAATTTATATATTAGTAGCAAAAATATTACATAAATTACATATAGATGATCCTGTGGATGCTATACCTATTCATGCTGGTTGTGGATTAGCAGGAGCCATGTGTCCAGGATGGTTTGATAGAAGGAGAGGAATATATTATGAATAGGGAGCATATTAATGGGGAGTCTAAGTACTTGGTTGTGTATGCTTTATTGCATGGTAATTAATTTATAATAATTCATAGGTCTGCTGCTTGGCATTATGCAGCATGTAAAATATTGGAAAAACTCAATTTGCTTAGAGTCCATAATTCTTTAGAAATGGAAGGATTGGATCCAACAATCTGTGGAGGACATGCTTTCTTTTATGAACCTGTAAGAGAATAGGATATGAAAGAACAATATTCATTCTAAAGAGATGTGCAATAATTAGATTAAGCAAAATTAAATGAAATGGAAATTGATGAGAGAAACTTATCCATTATAAAATAAGCTGACAAATGAAAAATATTTTGATGAATTTATATTCATAAATCTATTTTTATTTTTCTTTCTCTTGCATTAACAACATAGGTACTATTTTAAATATATGTGTAATCTGGTTAAAATGCATTAAAATCTATTGTTTGATTTTTACCATATGATTTTAGTACCCAAAAATGATCACTATTGTTTGTGATAACTGTTTCAAAGATATCATCAAATGGTCTACCTGGTAAATATGTTTTAGATTCATCCTCACAATTAACACTTCTTATTCCCATAGAACCATCACCAAAATATACAGTTCCTTTTTCTGATTTTTTATTAGCTTTTAATGGAAAAGTTCTTTTATATTAATGAACATGATTTTCAAAAGCTCCCACAAATTCATATTAATCAAATAAAGGTACCCAAATAGCTCTAGCCTATAATAAATTATCCCAAGAATTCATAAAAGATTTATTATTATAACAAGTAGGATATATAGGTACATGATAATGAGCAAATTTATTAAATGTTGCATAAGATTCATTTTTTAAAATTGATATCATCCATTCTGATTAAGTACCATTATGAGGATATAAATACCCTGAATCTAAACCAAAGAGTAATAGGTTTTACATCTTTTAAATATTGAATGTCACTCTATTTTTAATTGGTAGAACAGTATTATCAGCAGACTTTCTTTAAGGAAAGTAGGTGAAATATAAAGGTCCCCTTTCATTAGACACTGTTATATTATATTTAGCATAATCATTGAATCCAACATCATGATTACCAACTGAAAATATGAATGGAATCAATCTTCCAACTTTTATAAACTAAGTTTCAAAGACTTATAATAATAAATCAAATGAATAATAACAATGTACATTGCCATTATCATAAGCTATATCTCCTCCAATCAAAATAGCATCAGGATTAACTTTACTAATTTAATCTACAATCATTAATCCTTTTGTTTAATAACCCCAATCTCCTCCAAACAAAATTACAAGATCATCATCTGAATATTATTCTGCTATTGTTCTGTACTTTGTAGAATTCAAGACTTTCTCCTTATAAATTAAATCTACATCATATAAAGTATATGATTAAAGACCTGTAAAAAAACATGTGAATACATTTCTTTATCCTCTTTCTTCAACAGATGATGGAAAAGGTATTTTATCACACTTTATATTAATTTTAGAATCTTAAAACTTCATTTGTGCATTTAATTCATCAATATCAGTTCCAGAATGTACATTGATAAAAACTTCTTTTGATGTCTCTTCAGGTAAAGTGGCATATATATGACACAATGTTCCTTTAGGACACACTTCATCAGGTAACCAATTTGATCTAGTCCATTTAGTTGAAAATTATAAATCCAAAAATGTGTCAACTCCATATGCTTTATTATAAACACAAAGACATCCTTTTTGGAATGCTAATGGAAGAAATATTGAGAAAAATATAACTGTGGTCAATTCAAATGCTAAGAGATACTTAAAATATATGGCTGCACTTATATATCTCTTTTTAAAAGACTTATCTAAATATATTATCTTTTAATTACTTTTCCAAAATTATGAATTTCTCCATATTTATACTAAAATTCCAAATATTCCAAGCAAAAATATTAAAAATCCGCATAACCAAGAATGGATCAAATTAAAAACTGAATAACCAACTAAAGCTATAGCCAAAGGGCCTATTATAAACCAAAATAGAACAATATTGATTGATTCCACTATAATTGCAGACATTGGTTTTTCTTAAATTCAATAAGATAGAATTGTCTTACTTTCTTGTTTTACATCAAAAAATGAATCAGTAATATTAATCTATCCCACTTCCTTCATCTTCTTAGGCTTTAGTAAAAAGTACACGATGACACTTAATATGATATTAACTACAAAAATTCCCATTGAAATAAGCACAACTACCTAAACTTATAAGTTATAACTACTTTAGCAACTTCCATTGCAAATGAATGATCATAAGTCATACTCTTACCATCCCATAGCAAATCAAAGAACGTCATATTTTGTGATTAAATATGTATTATTATTATATATATAATTTTAAGACTATATTTAATATGCATTTTTTATTGATAAAATATCTACACTTTGAATCCAAAATTCAAATAATATTATTAAGGAATTGATGAATTTAAAAATTTATTATATTTTACTATAATTAAGTACTACCCTTTTTATCAAATTAAGATTAAAACAAAAATGATTAGTCACATGAATATTGATATCATTTGATTTCTTATAAACTATATGTAAAAATAATAATTATGAGATTAATATATTTATTACTTTTGATTAAATAAATAATAACTAATAAAATAAAATTTAGAATGGGTGATAATTATTTTTCTAGTGAAGAAAAAACACGAATCATTAATTTATTTATTTAAAGTTAGCATCTTCGAGCTTTGCAAATCCAATAATTATCAGAATAAATATAAACATGCAAAGATAAGATAATCTAATATTGTGAATTAATTTACAACTTTAAAAAATAATTAAGGACTTTAATACCTACAAATGATGAAAAATTTATAAAAAAATCAGCTAAATTAAAATGGATTAAAATATATTTTGATAAATCTAAAATTTAATATTAGATTCATGAAGATTATTGCACTTATTTAATTTATAATAAAAAATCTATTCAAAATATATAAGAAGATGAACAATAACACCGTGATGTGGGAAATTTGTTTGAAACTATTGTATCTAATTACATTTGTGACATCAATTAATTGTTAGGAGCAAAATTCTTTATAACTGATTAAAATTTGGCATAAGAAATATAAATGTAAATAAATGAACTTGAACTTAATCAAATAATAGAGATATTAAATGAATTAGATGATATATTGTCAGAAGAAGATATTTAAAGAATTAAACTTGTGATGAAATCATAAATGTAAAATTTAATAGAAAAAGAGTATTAAAATTTAGTTACTATTATTAATACATAATATAAAGAATTTATATAGTAATCTTAAATAGTACCATCTTACTAATCTTAAAAGTTAATGTATAGTAACTTTGGTGATGGTTTAAAAAACTTATCTTAAATAGAAAATTAACTAATCATAAGAGAAATAGATGAAAATTAATTGAATAATCTTCAAATAGGACTCTACAATATTAAATTAAAAAAGAAAATGATCATTATTCTTGAAATTACAAAAAAATAATAATAAAATGCATATATTATCAACTAATTTCAACATTATAAAGATGAATCTATCATCATTGAAAAAATTAAAACAAATTTTAAATGTTACTATTTAAGAACAATAAAGTTAAAAAAAATATAAGAGGCTTATTTAATTTGCAAATACCTAAAAAATAAGAAACTATTGTAATAAAATAAAATAATGGAATTTTATTTGTAAGAAAGCTTTAAATAAATTGATGATGAAATAAATTAAAAAATTCAAAAGTTTTATTCTATTTAAGAAGATATTGCTAATTTTGTATTAAAAATTATACCAGAATCATAAAATTTAAAAGATTTTTATTCAAAACTTTTTGTTTAGAGATTGTATGAGAAAAATAAATATGAATTTAATCTAATAGAGAAAATATAATTTATTTAAAATGTTAAGTCCTTAGAATATAAGCCATTAATCTTAGGGGCAGTTCTAGAAAATGAAAATTAATTAACATAAGGAATAGTATTATATTTGTCTAGAAGAAAAATATATGTTTTTATCAATAACTCTTAAGGTCAATAATAATTAAGTATGGAATCAAATAAAAAAGTTAAAATAATTAATACTAAGGTTAAAGAAATTCATGTAGATGTTACATAATTTTATGTTTCATTGATACTCAAAAATTAAAATAATAATGTTTTAAAATTGATAAAGTAATTTTTGGAATAACAAAATCATGTTTGGATTAACATTTTGAAGTTTTTAGACTGAATAATTTGATATAATATTTTATCGTTAAATAATGCATAATAACAATTCTTTTTTCTAGAATGACATAAGTTAATAGTAAATTGATTAAGCACTATTGAGATTGAATGCATTACTCAAGGATGAACCTCCAAAATTAGAAAAATAAAAGTTTAAAAAACCTCTCCTAATTAATTAAGAAGATTCATCAAGTATAGTTTCATCATAACCTAACAATACATAGTAAACTAAAATGACATCTGAATAAATCAATCATTTTGTTGATAGAATGAATGATAAATTTAAACAGTAAATAGTATTTTAAAGTCATTCATAGAACTTAGAATAAAATTATTGAGCTAAGAAAAGATAAAATATATTCTCCAATTAAAGTCAATGAAAAGAGTTAATCAATTCTCAAATAAAAAATTCAAAATGGTGAATATTAATCATTATATGAAAGAGCTAAAATAAGATAAATTGAAAAACAAGAAAAAATCAAAGAAAATGAAAGATAAAAAATTTTAGAAGAAATGATGACTATGAAAACTAAATGTAGTGATTCAAAATCAGTAGATAATTTCTTATAAAAAATGGATTATTGGGTTGAAAAGAAGACTCAATATATATAGAATTAATAATAAGAAAAAATAGAAAAGGAATTGGAAGGAGTTACATTTAAACCTAATCTAAATCCATTATCCACTAAAATAGCTAAATAATAAAATAAAGATATTGATATATTAGAACGCTTTTAAAAATCCAATCAAAATAAATAAATGAATGAATAAAGATTATTAAAGGATGAACTAAAAAAAACACCATTTACACCTAAATTAAATAAAAATTCAATTCTAATTAATAATAAAGCTTAAAAATAATAATAATTCAAAAATCACAACTATTTCTTAAACTAATAAATATTAAACTAATCAAAAGATTCTAGTTTAATTAATTTCAATAGCATTAATCAAAAATAAATATCAAATGATGCATTTAATTCAAAATAATCTAAATCATTGACTCCAGATTATGCTCGTTCTAAATATTCCACTGAAAAAATTAAAGATGATAACTCTATCAAAAAGAGATCAACAACTCCATTAAAATAAAATAAAATAATTCCTAATGTTTAAGAAATCAAATATAATCCAAATTTAAAGTTTTTAATGACATTAGCCTAAAAAGAATTGAATTATTCATCTTTATTTTGAGTCTATAGATTCACTATCTCCAATATATCAAAAATCAATAAATTATATTTTTATTATTCAATTTTTGGTTTAATAAGAATACTATTTTCTAATTATATATTCTTATTTATATTAAATGAATTGTATATATATAGAAAGAAACTATAAATAGAAATATAAACAAAAATGAAACAAAAGTTTAAATACTAATTAAATATACATCATTTTATTATAATATAACAAAATCCATCTGGATTTATGAATGTTGATACTAATAATCTAACTGGGAAATCCAAATTTATTTATAAACCTAATACATTGATATTTAATTCATTATAATTCAAACTCTAAAATAATATTTGATAATATACATCTTCAAAAATTGGTTATATAATATTTAATAGAGTTTCTTTCACATCTTTTAAAACATGGGATCTTTAAATCATATTTCCATCAATAAATATTCTTATTGGAATACTTATTTATTATTCTTTTTTCAAAGTATTTAAATCCCAGATTTTATCAAAGAATTCATAAAATTAAGGTCTATAATTATGATCAGAATAATTTTAGAACATTTTATATTATTATTCTATAGTAATAGTTTAAAAGATTTATTTTTCCCATTTATGACCATATCTAATCATGCATGCCTATTTTAGATTCCAAAAATATCTATTCTTAATATCAACTTAAATGTTCTCTGATATAGGTAACACATTTTCTGGTCTTTTTTTAAAATGTACAACAATTTCTACTTCTTCATTAATTTTATCTATTTGAACAAAAAAAGGAAGATGCCATTAAATTGGTTAATCATTATATGATAACCATAAAGAGGATCTAACTTTATTTGAGAATCTTATAAAATGATTGTAAATTGATTCAAAATAGAATCCAGGATATTTATTATTGTAAATAATGCAAACAAAGGGTATGATTTGTGTTTTATCATCAACATCTTAGATGATAAATTTTCCTAGAAAAGATTATTCATTAATTTATTTGCGAATATCTTCTAAACTAATTTCTTCTTAGAGTTAATTTTCCATACTTTAATAATAATATAATATTTATATTCACATATTCTAAAAGATCATACATATATAATTATTTTTAATTATTCTATTCTATAATTATTAAAATGAACTAAACATAGTAGAATTGTGAATTTAATGAATCTTAAATGAAATATAAATATGAGAGTTTATAATTTTGTTAAAATAAAATAATACTTCAATATGAATAAAAAAAAATAAAATAATGTAAAGGAGAAGATTTAAATATTTTAAAAGATGCTTGGTTTTATTAATATGAATAATAAATTAGAAATTTGTGAGTATTAAAATAAATATTTTAATTATATTAGAATATTAGTGAATGTGAATTTGAAGAGCTTGTGAATATATTTAGTTTAATATAAGTTTGTATTCTATTGTTTATCAAAATTGGGTGAGAAATTAAATCTTTTTTTAAAATATAAAAAAATGGTTAAAAATTCAGCATAAGACCCATAAGATAATTCACTCTAAATGAAAGTAATTGATTAAAGTGCTATTGATTTAGATTAGATAATATTTGGTTTCAGGAAGAAGACTTCCATCTAAAGAAGACCCAAATCCAAAAGTGATTAGTATGAGAATCTTTGCAAGAAACACAGTCGCTGCTAAAAGCAGATTCTGGTATAGCATGATTTAATGGTTAGGTGGAATTTAAGAAGACTTAATAAACTCAAACCATCACATGGATAGATCTTAGCAGTATAAGAATTATTTGAAAGAAGAGACACAAATGTTAAAACATATGGAATTGTTCTTAAATATTAATCAAGAACAACTATTCATAATATGTATAAGGAATTCAGAGACACAACCTTAAATGGAGCAGTCTCTTAATTATGTAATAATATTTGCTGAAGAATATTTTAGATCAAGAAATGGCTGGAAATCATAGAGCTTAACCATAAACAATTCATATTCTCAGAACATCAGTATTAACAAAGAGTGCTGATATCAAGAGAGGAAAGACTAATTAATACAGAGTATATATATAAAATTTAGTATTAGGGTGATTCAATCAAATTCCCTATTGTCAAAACAGTTCCAAGAGCTAGTCACAAAAAGTTTAGAACAGTGTTCAAAGCCAAAAGACCAAACCTCTATAGATCATGAACATGATATTTTAGTACAATAATCATCATATAATAATATTTAATATTAAATAATAAATTTGTGTTTAATTAATCATAATCAATATAAAACTATCTATACATTATTTGTTGTAAATATTTCTTAAAATATAAACTGTATTTAATATATAATTTATAAAAAACACTAATATTATCTCTTAATTCTATTTTTGCTTGAAGATTCCAAGCAAATTAATAATTATAAAATATTATCATTATTTATTAATCAATTTTTTGAAATTAGGTAATTTTTAAATAGGTTCTTAAAGATTGTGTATCTAATTGGATAAAGATCCTGAAAGAGACTGAGTTTTCATCTAATTCAAATAATTTAAAGCTTCACATGCACTTATTCTTTTTTAAGGATTTTCTTCTAACATTTAAGCTACAAGAATTTTGTAGTCATTTTGCTTTATTTTTGAAAGTATTTAATTATTAACAATAAAATTTTTATTATTTGCTATAATTTCTTTTTAATTGTCTCCTATAATTAATTTTAACCCAGTCAACCTAATATTATTTTTAATATATACATTTAATATAAAATAGCTCCACAAGCAAAGATATCTAATTTTTCAGATAATTTTTATGAATATTCAAACATTTCGGGTGCCATATATCCAGGTGTTCCAAATTTCATATCTTTATCTTTTTCCAAATCCTATAACTTTTTTGTAATTCCAAAATCAATTATTTTTAATTGGGAAAATTAACCCAAATCATTAAATAAAATATTATCAGGTTTTATATCTCTATGCACAAATCCATTTTTATGCATGTAATTAATTGCCTCCAAAATTTACTAATATTCATTACAATATATATTATACATGTATTATGATTGTCACCTCTTAACTATTCAATTTACAATATTTAAGACATTGATTGAGTGAACCACCTTTTAGATATTAAAGTATTATCTAATATTCAAACTCAGATTCATACACTTGGATTAGCTTTACAATATTTTAATGAGTCAGTTATTTCAAGGTTTCAACTTCATTTTGAAATAGCTACAATAAAAATACATTATACCTATTAAGAATATTTTTTCAGTTTTTTCAACTCTTTACAAGCAAAAATTTATTCATTATCAATTCTTTTGATCAATTGAATCTTCTTTATAAATATAATAAAAATACAGAGCTCTATTAGTTGGATTCTAATTTTTTAATTGGTTTAAAAAAGAGATCCATATTACAATAAATAACTTTTCCATCCATATATTCTTTAACTCGTAACAAGACATTCTAATCTGCATAAAAAAATCTCCTTTATCCCTTCCAAAATATAGCAAAGGCTATTAATTTCTGATTGTCTTCATTTACTTTCCAATCAATCACAGTTTGCAAATTCATTGGGATAACATACTTGATCTTTTAAGTAGACTTTAATATTAACCAAATTATTACTTCCCCAATATCAATGCTCTCCTGTTTTATAGTGATAATATAACTTTTATCGAACAATAAGTGCTTTCTTATGCAATACATCAATTTGAATATTAATGAATTTCGATTAAAAGATTCTATCCACTCTTAAATAGAGGCTTCTTATTTCAGTAATAAACTAGTAGAGCATTTTATAGAATGAAAAACTAATCATACCACTTAAGAAATAAACAAACACGTTTAGAAGATGTATCCAAATTTCTATAACCCATTAAAAAGATTACATGAAAAATAATCAATTCTTTTGATTACCTTCATCTAAAATCATGAGATATTAAGTGAATAAGACAGAAATTAGTTAAATTGAATAAGAAAAAACTTAAACTATGATTTTCTAATCCCAACATATATAGTATTGATTATAGAATCTAATATAAAAATACATTAGATTAATGAAGATTGTTGAAAATGGATGAGTAGGTATCAACGATTTCAAGAAGATTATTATTCAGTCATTATCATTTAATTAACATAAATTTTAGGAAATTGATTAACAAATTTTATAAACTCAAGGGAAGAATTCACCTTTTATAAACTTCTACATAAAGATTTCTGATTCCTCTCTTTTGTCCAATGGTACCATATGTCCAGCATTTCTAATTGTCAATAATGTGAGTCCATCCAAATCCATAACATAACCTGCATTTTAGTCTGGATCAACTTCTCTCTTTGCAGGAACAAACCATGGTCTCCAAGGTTTCAAAGTAGCCAAATCTTCAAATTATAATAATATAATACATAATTCTTTCTACAATTTATCAATCCAAAACATTGTTCCTGTTAAGGGGACAACTGCATCAACATCACCACTAAATTTCAAAATTCTAATTTAATTTTTAAGGATTTTTTAATATAAATAGTAAGATCCTTTAGGATTTACCTTATATTATCCCAAAGTTCTTGAACAAACAGCCCATTAAGCAGATTCTTGTCTGATTTTTAGGAGCTAAAATTATAACTAAATATTACAGTTCTAACTTCAGCAGATCTTAAATGATGATATAATCCTTGTACATCAGCACAAGGAGGAACATCAGATTCCTCATTTAGTGATCTCATACCACCAAATTTTTAACTCATCTTACTACCTTCTGGAGTGTAAGTAAAACAATAGCCATAAATATTATAAGGATTGAATTTAATATTATCTTCCTTTTTTCCACTAACTTCAACTTCAACTCTATCAGCTAATTCTTTACATTTTCCATCTTTGATTCCATAACATTCATTTTAGACTGCCAATATTTTTTCATATAATTCTTCACTAATAAAATTGTGACGACCATAAAATTTATAAACATGAATTTGGAATGGATCAGCTTCATCTGTACATTCAGTAGGATCAGTACAACCATTTCCTATTGCCAAACCTTATAAATTAATGCGATTATCAGCAGCCTATAGAGCATTATAATCAATAATTTCATTGGCCAAAGTTGGGATGTAGATTCCAGCATATGATTCACCTGAAATGAAGAATGGCAATTTTTTATATTCTGTAAACCTGCTAAAAAAGTCAACCAACGCATTGATGTTGTATTTTGCTGTAGATTCGTCTGATTATTCACCTTATGGACCATATGAAAATCCTACGGTAATTGGAGATTCAATATAGAGCATATTGGCCTTAAATATAAGATATTGATTTGTTACAAAATTTGTCCAAGAATACTAGTTCATTTCAAATTCAGCTGTTCCTGCTTTAAATACAAATGGACCATTCTCATTAAATGCACCTTATAATGAAGAGCATCCAGGACCACCATTCAACCAAAGAATAACAGGCTTCTTTAAGGCATCAACTGGTGCTGGGTAAAACATATAATGAAATTAAGCTGTTCCTTCAGTATTTGCTTTAAGATAGCCTGAATAACTAAGAATACTTATGTAGAATCTTACACTAATCCATCGTAATTTATTTTAAATAATCGATTTAGTTCATTCTAATCGACTTTATCTCCTTCATCAACTAAAACTTAAAGTGCAAAAGATATGGAAAGTAAACCCAAGAATATAACAAAATTGTTCATTCTTTATTTTTAATATTTTGTTCTAAATGATGATTTAATTGCATATGTAATAATAATTATTAATATATTTGTAATGGGAAATGGTACTTTTTAATTTATATTTAAAAAGATGCTTTGAGCTCCTGTACCAAAAAATAAAAATCCTCCTTAATTTAAAGAGAATCTAATATAACAATAAGTAGACAGTTTAATTAAACAATATGTTCAATATTATAAGGAGATATATTTGTAAGTGGATTAAATATAAGTATTATATTTGTCTATTGTAGTCAATTGTTCATATGAACCTGCAGATTCATTAATTGTTAAACAGTATTTTATTTAAAATGATATCTTTAGAGATCAGAATATTAAAAAGAGTTAGAGGGATGAGATTAGAGCAAGTATATTCTATGTTCAATTTAGTGCATGTTGGAGATGTTTTATTAACAGAAAGATAGAATCTATTCCTACTTCATGCTAAATTACCGATGTATTCCGAGATCAAAGATTTATAAAAAGTGTATTCAACTTATGAAAAATGGTATCTATATATATAAATTCAAGTTTGGAGATTGCAGATGAAAATATTTTATCAGAAATTACTTTTACAGAATAAAATGCTTTAAATTTTGCTATTCCAAAATAGTACAATGCAGAATGTTTAATTAGATGTATAATAAATCATATTAGTTTAAATCCTTAAACTAATTTAAAATAAATTAATTTTCTTAGTAATGATTATACAACTGTAAATAAAATCAAATATTTGTTTTAGATAAACATATTTAAATTAGAATTAGATAATATATTAGAAGAAATGAAAGTGCCTAATTTGGCAGAGAAAAATAGAAAAACATTTTTTGAATTTTTAAATTCAAATAATTGTGAAGAAGCTCCATATTTTCTAAGTACAGGCTTAACAACAAGTTTTGTCCATCTAACTGAGAAAATTTCTGAGTGATGATGTGAATATATTTATTCTCTTATAAATTGTAAATGAATTTAAAGTTATTGAATTTAGTACTAATATTCATTATCAACAGTTTTTCATTTTATTTTTTCCATAAAATTGATAAAATGATCATAAGTAAACTAATAAATATTAAATTATATATAAATACCCTCCATTTCAAACAATGTTTTTCGAACTCTTTATTTAATGATTACTAATCCGTTTACATAAGTTTGACTAAACTTTTTTTACTTATATACTAACTCTTATTTGATAATATTTAGAATCCTTTTCTTAAATTTTCTATTATAAGAACTCTACTTAAATTGCTATTCATTATTAAAAAATCTTAAAATGAAATTTATTCGTTAGATTCTATTAATTATTAATAATCTGATCCAACATTTTAATCTTAAAATAAATCTTATAATAATTTGATTAGACTAACAAGATTCAAATTATTTTCTTCATTTTTTTCTAAAATATCATAAATCTTTTTCATTATTAAAAATTAATGAGGAACAAAAGATTAAATCAAATAAAAAGTAAAGCACTTTTATAAATAATTAATTTTTTTATGAAGATTTTATGGAATTAATTTAACTTGATGCAATCTTAAGAATTCATAATTTCCAGATTAAACAAACTTATTTTCTTTTATCTAATCTATTTTAATTCTTTATTATGGTGCCAATTATAACATTGCTAATATTAATGATCTTAAATTGATTCCAATTATATTTTATGGAAGTCTTAAATTAGATTTTATTGATTCTAACCATAATTCATTATCTAAATCCTTATAATTATTAATTTTTGTAGTATTCAATTTTACAATCATAGAATATATTATTAATCCTATTTACCATATATCTAATTCTGATGATTTATTTTTATCTATTACATCAAAATTTGTACTACTATATTCTCTTTTCTTTAAATGAAATATTCCATTTAAATTAGTTAATTTTAGATAATGATATTTTGAATTCACAAAAAAATGAAATGATTACATATCTAAATTGTTATGATATAATTATTTAGAATGAAGATGGCTGACAATAGAAATGATTTATGAAACTAATATTGAAATTTATTCCAAATTTAAATCTTAATTTTTATCTACATAATCTTATAAGCTTTCTTAAGAACAATATTCAAAGTATAACTTATCTTTTTATTATGATTCTTCATTTTCTACTTCTAAAATTTCTATTATGTGAGGATGAGTCTAAACTTAAAATATAATTTACAAGTGCACTTTTATTCAATCTAATATTACTTGAGTGAATTGTTTCTTCACCTTAATCAGCAGAACTAGTATAATAAATCCTTCCAGTAAATTTATTTACAAAGTATTTATAAATACATTTATCTGCTTTATTCAATTCTTCAGAAAGAATGAAATCACTTTCTTACAATTTATTCATTTCAGCATTTCTTTTGCTGATTAATAGTGTTTAATGTGATCTTATACTTCTAGGAGATGATATAAGTTTTTCTTTTTGCATCTAATAACTTTCTAAAATCACTGTCAGTTAATGCTAAGCGCTATTTGGTTAAGACAAATTTCCAAATCTATTATTTCTTTAAAAATGAGAATCAGGTGATGATTGTAACTTTGAACCTAAGTTTTAAATTTTCTAGAATAATTGTTTTTCCTTACATTGTTCTCACTTTATGATTTACTATTTTTTGAGGTGTTGGTTTTTCCACTACATAATCCCATTTGTTAAATAACTAAAATATAAAATGATTAAATATAGGATTTAAAACATAAAAATAAATTATGCTCACTTCTTGGATTATTATTAAATAAATAAAATAATTTATATTTAATCAACCTATAATATAATACTGGAAATAAATAAAGAAAATCTTAGCTTATTATTATTATAGTTCTCAATATATATAAAGAATATAATTGCTAATTAAAATCATAATTAATCATCTATTTATATATTTAATTTAAATATTAAATTAACAAGCGATAAGTTATAACCAAATAGTTTTATTATTTTTGGATAATTTTAGTGTCCATTTAAGAAAATAGCCTTTGATATAAATAAGTTATTAATTATTCTAATTAAATAATCGATACAATTTATTTTTAATTAAATTAATAATTCATATTATGTGTTTAATTATCTATAAAAAGTACATTAATCGCTTCTATTATTTTTAAGAGAAACTAATTTTTTATAATAAAATAGAAATTAAAGAATGATATTTTCGATATAAATATATAATTATTCAGGTCGGTTTTAAACAAGATAATCAAAGCTTATTGTCTGTTATCTTATAACTACATTCGAAGTAATTATATGAAAATGTACAAATGAAATATTGTAATAAATGAACAATCCATTTCACTTCTCTTTGTTATATTTATTACAATATTGAATAGATTAAGTCCATTCAATAATTAAATTTATCTTACTACTTCAAATGGTAATTTTATTAGCAGAATAATAGAAAGTGATAATGTTTGAAAATAATGTAAAATGTGAAATGCTAATATAGTATATGAATTATTACCTCTTAAATGTATTGAAAATTCACCTTTTATAAAATGCAAGTACTTTATAATGAAGCCTTTAAACTAATCCTAAATTTAATGAAGACTTCAATAATGACTTTAATTTTTGTATTATATTATTTTTTTGAACTTAATAATTCAAATGAAATTCCTTCAAGGAATAGAAAATCCTAATAATCAAGTTGATAAATACCCTAAAAAAGAAAATGCATAGCTTCTCTTGTTAAATTATTATTTATAAAATATAATAATAAATATTCATAATAATTCTGATTCAATTATGCATTCGAATAAAATTTAAATCAAATAACAGAAAACTATACAATTTTCAAATGTTATATTTTGTAACACAAATTCATAGATCGATATTGAGGTTTTCTTTTGTAAGGAGGAACTTTAAAGTAAGGAGCTAAAGAATCATGTGAGATCTAATCATAATCAATTTGATGAGTTTCACTAAATTCACCTTCAAACTCATTATCATTTTCATTTATCATCACATCATATTCTGCTTGACATTTTTTATAAAACTTTCTGTACTATCTCCAGCAATACTAAATTAATGTTTCATCAATATTTTAGTCTAAAGGTTCAACTTCATAGAGCATTTTATTAATTAAATTTGGCGCTAAATATCTATGTTATTTTGTTGAATGAATAACAAAACTTTTTGTATCATTGCTAGTAAAGAATTCAATATTTAGATTCTTTTTGCATTTTTACTCAAGCTTCATTGTCTTTTTTAGTTATTTCATTCCACTCAAAATTTGTTAAATATTTTTGAAATCTGTGTTTTTATCGTGAATAATTTTGCATTAGTATATGTTATATTTCTATTAAGGAGGTTTAAGGTTATTTTCTAGAATTCATATTTTAAGAATACTTTTGAATGCTTCTTCTTCAAGGAGTAGCCCATGTTTATTACAATATTTCAAATAGTCATATATGTCAGTGAACCCTAGTGACTCAAGATGTTTGATGAATAGGAATTCATTTTAAACACAGCTTTAATATATAGGATCTTAGATTAATTGTTCATATAATGATTAATGTAAAGGTCCATTTTTTCGTTTTCTCAATATTCTTTCTGTAAGTCCATCAAGGGGTTTATTCTACAGTGAATCATCTTCATGTTCTTATTAAGAATCGGTCAGATCTATTATATTACCGGGAAAATTAAAATCAGTCTTAAAAACTTGTTCCATTTATTTGAGTATTAATTAATAATTAATTAATTATGTATATATATATGTTTAAAATTATACTTCACTTCTAGTTAGATATTTATTAATTGATGTGAACAGGCTTAATTGTAACAGAATTGTTATTATTATTATTGTTATTGTTATTGTTATTATTATTATTATTATTATTATTAGTATTGTTATTATTATTATTATTATTATTATTATTATTATTATTATTATTATTATTATTATTATTATTATTATTATTATTATTATTATTATTATTATTATTATTATTATTATTATTATTATTATTATTATTATTATTATTATTATTATTATTATTATTATTATTATTATTATTATTATTATTATTATTATTATTATTATTATTATTATTATTATTATTATTATTATTATTATTATTATTATTATTATTATTATTATTATTATTATTATTATTATTATTATTATTATTATTATTATTATTATTATTATTATTATTATTATTATTATTATTATTATTATTATTATTATTATTATTATTATTATTATTATTATTATTATTATTATTATTATTATTATTATTATTATTATTATTATTATTATTATTATTATTATTATTATTATTATTATTATTATTATTATTATTATTATTATTATTATTATTATTATTATTATTATTATTATTATTATTATTATTATTATTATTATTATTATTATTATTATTATTATTATTATTATTATTATTATTATTATTATTATTATTATTATTATTATTATTAGATTATTATAGTCTTTCGGATGTCATCTCATTTCCTGCATTCTTCAAAGATTCAACTATATCTTCCAAATTAGGTAATGGCTTCAAATCCTGTGTGATTAAATTTGTTATTTTTAGTTCTTTTAACATGAATTTGGATATGACCCTTACTGATTTCCATGCATAATCTTTCAAATTTTTACATCTTTCATTGTCAGCAATTTTGCGACTCTGGTCTAATTAATAAAACACTTCATTTAAATAATAATTTAATCCAGGTTCAATAGGATTAGTTTCAATTTTATAAGGTCTTCCCTAATCTTGGAGAATATACTCAAATGCATCTGTCTATTTATATTTGAGATCATCATATATTCTCTTCTAAATTTCTTGTCTTTTTTTTTTGGCTTTTTCAGATGCTTTAATACTAAGTTTTTCATATCCATCATCAAAGCATTGTTTTTCTGTCACCCAAAGTCGCTGAGATATAATAATAGAATACCCAAGTTCGTTCTGTATCAATTAAATGTTAAACTTTTTCTCCTAATTTATCTCCTAATTCATCTAATTATTTTTGAACTTCAATTTTCAAGTTTTATATAAATTATTTCTAAAATATTAACAGGATTTCAATACTTCTTGATTTTCAAGCTCAGCTACAAAAATAAACAATAAAACTTAATTTAAGAACAATTTTCTAAAGTAAGGATCATTTAATTAATTTTTGAATAAAGAATATTTTGTTAGAAACTTAGGAAACCTTTTAACAGTTATGATTTCAGGTTCAATAGGATTCTCTTTGAAATATTGCAATGCTCTCATTATTACTTTAATGACAGCTTAAAGATTTTTAGTTCTTTATGGTTCAGATACTCCTTATGATACTTATCCAGCTTCTTCTCCTAATTCATCAAATTCTACTTTGTTTCTAAATATTAATTCAGAGTTATTAAGGTATTTTTATAAAGTCCAAAAATTTTTATAAAAGGAATATGGCAATGATGCATTAACTTTGACTGCTTCTTCATCAAATCCTCTATCTCTTACATTAATTGGTTTCTTTCTTAAAGAGGGATGAATAGTTGAGAATATTTGGGTCAAGAATATTTAAACTTATCCTCTTAAAAAAGTGTCATGTGTTGTTGATAGTCTTTTTAGCATAGAATTACAAATTCTCAACAAAACATATTTATTCTCATCCTAGAATTTTGATATTGTGGATATCTAACTATATAAATTATTAAAGTAATCCTAAAGTTCTGAAAGAGACAAACACTCATAGATATCCTCACTAAAAGCTTAAAATAGTAAAATTATATACTAAGTGGATAAGATTTAAGATCTGGTACTTCTTTGCAAATCGAATAAGATAATTCAGCCAAAAAAATATTTACTTTTAGAAGTTCTAATAGATCCTCATCTAGAACTTTTTTACTAGTCAATTTCTATCTATTAACTTATATTCTTACTAATTTTTGATGCAAATAGTCTCTACAATTTTTAAGGAAAGATAAATAAAATGGTTACAATTAATCTGCGGATTCTTCCTCATGGAGTTTTTACAATTTCTATTTTATTATTTCTGTGTGTCTCACTTTGAAATTTAAAATGTACGACTATGAAATATTCAAATAATACTTCAATTTCCATTTGTTTAAATTCACTCATATTAAGAATGTTTTTTAAATAAATATAATTTTTATATTCTAATATAAATCACCTACGACCGAAATGACTATCTCCAGCAAATCCAAATTCATCTTATTAAGCTAAGATTTTTTAATTCTTTGGATGTGGATTATCTGCACTTTATTATCTTTTATTCCATTCAGCTAAAGCTTAATGTTTAGTAACCGGATTTTCTCTATCATAATCTGTATCAAAGCTTGCACTTCCTTCAGCATATGGTTTTATCTAAATAAATAAGAATTATATACTTCCTCATTGTTTTCAACAGGGAAGAGATATTCAGATATGTCTTCCATTGGCAATTATTAATATAATATTGCCAAAACGATAAGTAAAATATCTATTTTGCTAACTTCTTTGAAAAAAGTGTATGTCATTATCATTTCTCCAAAAGCACACCATGCAATAATGTATTCTAACATTTCAATCATTTCTAAAAATAAATCAACATATATATACCTGTCGAGAGCTATATACTTATAGATTCTTTAACAGTTCTCCTTCTAAGAATGTTATAATAATCTACAAAATAATAGATCAGAATTCCAAAAGCACTAAATAATGTGCCTAATGGTATTGCTGTACCGTACATAAATGTAAACCACATTGTTTTCATTACATCTGAATAACGTTTTGCTGAAAGATAATCTGGTTCTTCCATTAATTTGTTGGCCTCTTATTAAGTTAATAGTGCTTTATCTCCTTTTGACATAATATATTTTCTCCAAATGTTCTTACATAAACTCCATGGATCTACACACCAAATAAATGGAGGAAAAATTGCATTTAGAACAAAGATTTGACTTTCATTTTATATGAAACCTCCAGCTCCTTTAACATTCTTTAAAATAACAATGTCCACTAAAAAACTAATAATTGCTGCATTTAAAAATAATGCTAATGCATATTTATAAACGAAAGATATTTAGAATTTTGTTTTATTTGATATTTTTTCATCATCAACAATATAATGAACAATTTTAGCTACTCCAAATTTATTGAATAATACTATTGTCATAGATATACTAAATGACATTATATTTATTTTTCTTTTAGTATCTTAATCTAATTTTCCTTTTAATTCTTCTTCATGTGCTTCATCACCCAATAAAGCTAATCGATGAGATATTAAATATATAATGAAAAAGGCAGCACTTTCAAATAAAATATAATATACCCAAGCTCTTACTCTTTTAAATATCTTCTCACTAGTAGTAATATGAATAAATTCCCAATCTACATCATTTGGTTCAGGTGCTTGTTCTAAAAATAATTTTTAGCCATGCCATTATAAATCATTATTAGTGAGACTCTTTAATTAGCCTCTATTGATATGAGATCTCATTCTTTCCCATTAAGTATGAGGATTATCTTATAAAACTAATTGTTTCATAGATTCATCATCAAAAGATATGAAGGCAATTCCTGAAAAATTTGTATTATGAGTTTCATATTCTTCCTCAATCTTATGGATTTAATGTTCTAAATGTTCAATTTCTTCATCAATCTTTTTAACACTTTCATGATGAAAATTAAAATTAGATTATTTTATCGCATCTTTTTTCGATTATAATAATTAATCTAATTTTTTTTCAAGTTCAATTATTTCTTCTATATCATAAACTAAAACTACTTTTCTAACTATAATTTATTTAGTTGAATCCAAAATGGAATAATTTTCAAATAAATTTTTTAGTTCATATTTATAATCCACACTTAATCCTGTTGGAATATTCTTAACACATATAGTATAATCTGCAGGTGTCAATTGTTCTTCATCAATAGTAGTATCAATTTATCTTTGGCTTTTTCTAAAATATATCAGAACAAACATAATTATGAAAATACTAATAAAGTTTAAGACTTGCATCATTTCAAGGGCTTCTCGGTTACTATTTTAAGTATTTTAAATTACTCAAGTTTGTTAGCCAAAGATAGTCGTAAAAATATACTTTCTGGACAATATGGTTCTTCTATTATATGTCCTTCCATCTTTTCTCTTTTTATATGACTGCAATAAGAACCATTAAAGTTAGTATATAAATTATGCAATTATTTAACTAAAAGTTAAATAAAGAGGATAATTATGCAATATCTGAGATAGTTATAAAATAACGTGAAACCTGATCCTAAAAAAGATAAAGCCATAGGATCTGAACAATAAGGAATATCTTCTCTATCTACTTCAAATCCACAACAAGGGCATGTTTCAACTATTTATTCATAACCAAATTCTACTTTATAATGTTTTCAGAGGATCCTTCTTTTTTTCTTATGCCGTTCGTCTTGACAATGCATGTTTTCTTGCTATTTCCCAATCACAAGGCATTTATAAAGGGTTGTAATGATCCTCATGATGATCATTGCTTGCATGATGAATTTCATGATCTCCATCCATATGACCATGATTCGAATGTTGATGATGAGACTAGTCATTGTGCAAATGTTAATGTTAAGAAGGCTTTATAATTAAATTTATAGACTTACTTATGATTATTTTTGCATTTCAGGGTGTGATTATTATTGTTACTAATTTAGTATTAAAAACTTTTACTTTAGATTAATTACTTTAACCATGTATTTCTTAGTCATGCTAATCAATCTAATTATTTGCATGAGACTAATGCTAATTATAAGATGATTAATTCATTCTATTTAGATTAATTTTATTGACAGATATACACATATATAAAAAACCATTCAAAATCAATATTCTAAAGTACCAAATTACATCCACTCAAGTTCTATTAACTAATATAACAAATGTATTTAATAATCTAAATTTATTTTTCATTTGGCTAAAGTGTCACCAATTTATATAATATTCTTTGAAATCTGAATTCTTTATGCTTATAATTATTGTATTTAAATATTATTTTGAATTTAATAATTTCTAGGTAAACTTAATTTCAAATTACATTATCAAGTTTTATAATTTTTCTGTTCATAAACACTGATGTTACTCATAATTGATATTTTGTTGATATTTATAATAAATATGGAAATGTTCTGAGATGTTCAATTTTCATTTATTTATATAATTATATCAAAAATTTGTTCAATAAATTAAAATATATTGTAATGTAATTCTCATAAATATTCAGATTTTCAGATAATAAAAAAAAACATGAAAAATGAAATTTCAAAAGAATTTATTTAAATAATTAATTTCTAAAATACATCCTCTTGTCTTATCTAATTTTTAGTGCATAATTTATTTTTGGAGTATAATATAATTAGTATTTAATTTTAATTAAATAATAATATTAATATTTATATTTATGTAATAAGAGTTCAAATTGCCATAAAAGATTATTTAACTTTATGCAAAATATTAGAATAAATCTCAGAAAGTGAAAAAATTTCAACTATAAGAACATACATTTATGTTAGAAGACAACTATTCACCAGTTGAAATTAGTAATAATTATTTTATTATATAAAGTCGGAAGCGGTGCATATGGATGTGTTATTTAAGCTGATGATAAAAATGCAAAGGCTGAAAAGGATAGATAAGTTGCTATTAAGAAAATTGAAAGAGCATTTGAACATAGATTATATGCGAAAAGAACTCTAAGAGAATTAAAGATTCTTAGGTTGATGAAACATGAAAATGTATTTATGATGTAAGTAATATAGATCGTGGAATTAAAAACTTTGCTACTTCCAAAATCTAGAGAAGAATTTGAAGATGTTTATATGGTTACTGAATTATTGGAAACAGACCTGGCCTAAGTAATAAAGAGTGATTAAGTATTAACAGATGAACATATCTAATTATTCTTATATTAAATCCTTAGAGGATTGAAATATTTACATACTGCAGGAATATTGCATAGAGATTTAGTAAATATTTGTACAATCAAATTAGAAACCAAGAAATTTATTATTAAATAGAAATTGCGATTTAAAAATCTGTGATTTTGGATTAGGTAGAGCAATGGCTGATCCTTCTTCTTCAAATAATGCAAATATTATGACTTACTATGTTGAGACTAGATGGTATAGAGCACCAGAATTGCTAGTAAGTTTCAAGAATTATACTCCTGCAGTTGATATATGGTCGGTTGGATGCATTTTGGCAGAATTATTATTAAGAAAACCTTTTTTAAGAGGAGATTCCAGTATTTTCATTTTAAATATATAAAGCTAAAAGATAAGTCAAGTTAATATTTGAATTATTGGGTACACCAAATGAAGCTTATATTTAATCATTCTAAGATGAAAAAGTTTAAAATAATTTAAGAAAAGTCATTAAAGAAACAGGACCGAAATAAGGTATCCCATTAGAGTAATTATTTAAAAATGCTTCTAAAAATGGTAATAATGTACAATCATTACTGAAGCTTTGGATTTATTAAGAAAACTGTTGACATTTGATTATAGATAAAGAATCACAGTTCAGTAAGCCTTAGAGCATCCTTATTTAGCTCAATTGCACTTTGAAGCAGATGAACCAAGTGCTTAACTTGTTAATTAATTAGAATTCGAATTTGAAAAGTATGAAATGACCAGAGAACAAATTAAAGGTACATTTAAATATTTAAATTAGATCTTCTTTATGAGGAAATATTATTATATCATTTTCCTGAATTCTAAACATCTTATGAAGCTAAGAAAAAGTCAGGATAGAGTTTGATATCACATGTAGTAAATAATGAAAACGCTAAAATTGTAAATAAATTATTTAATTAAAGTTTGATCCCACAGCTGATGATGATTTAGATAGGGATTGAATATAATATTATGATAAATTCAATATTATGGTAAATTAGTTGTATTAAATCTATTCACATAATCCATATCGGTTTTACTTAATGCAGTGGGTAATCCAGTCTAAATTTCCTATTATTATTATGAAAAAAATTCAAATCTTTCCCTATTTTAGGTTTTCATTTCTCAATTTTTTCGTTAGTAATCCTTCTTTCTATTTATAGTTTGAAATGATTTAAGTGTATAATTGAAGTAAAAGCTTTCTTTTAAATAGAAAGTTTAATTCTTATTTTAATATTTGCTTAAATTTCAATTTCAATATGGAAATCTATTTATAACTTTTTTGTTTCTTTATTTATTAAAATAAAAAGTATTATAAATAGAATCTAAGTCTTTAACTTTGGTTCCTTCTCCTAAAAAACAATACATAAACTCTTGTGTAAAGATCGTTATTAGGCCAATAAGTTTTTATAGAAGGCTCAATGTATCTATAACCCTATGGAAAATAAATTTTTCCCAAGAATTCATTAATCTCATTTAAATTAGATGCTATGGATGCTTATCAAATTTAGTTCATTTTCAATCTACTTGTAATTATAAGCCAAAAAAAAACTAAATGGGCTATAAATATAAAAATGCCATCATCATTTTTATGTTATTAACTTTTGATTATTGTGTATAGTTTATCAGAATATTATCAATTAATAAGTGCATTAAATCATAATCCTTCATATTCTTTTTGATCTAAATCTAATAATTCATTAGGATTTTGAATTCTATTATACAAAAGGTTAATCCTTATCAAAATTTTTAGCTTCCAATATTTCACCAAACATGTTCACACAAACTTGTCTACTATCATCAAATTAGATATGAAATTCTTAGATTATATTTCAATTATTTTTTCAAATAATCTTAATTATTCATTAATTATTTTTATGGAAGACTTTGTACCATCATTGAATAGTTTAGTCAAATATTCAACACCTGTTTTAGTATCTGTAGCTGGAAAAAACACTGGTATAAAAGTAATAATAACAAATAGGTGAAAAAAAGGATGCCTAAGCTAAGCAATAAGTCAGAGTCAATAGTCCTGGAAGAGTACTAATTTAAAATTATTATGTCAGCAAGAAAAAATGATAACCTAAGAAATTTTACAATAAAATCTACCACCTAAAGAATACAGATTGAAAAATGGTCAATTATGGGTGCAAACTGTTTTATCTACTCCTGCAACTAGAATTGAAGTTGTCTAATTATAACAAGAGTTAGACAAAAGGTTATTATCAAGAGGAGCCAGAGAAACTGGTATTTGCCCCATCAGAGAAGAGTTATATGAATAATGTTTTGATGAATTGATTAGATAGATTACAATCGATTGCAGTTAAAGAGGATTATTATTAGTGAAGTATGAATTTAATATTTAATAATTTTTGAGTTCGAAACGAATTTCGAAATTAATTGAATTCATACAAAACTCTATATGAAAGTTCCATTGCATACGGTATGAGAAAAATGATAGATGCTGAATAAAAAAGAACAGATAAATCAAATAAAATTATGTTTATGGATAGAGAATGCTAAGAGTTATAGAAGGCAGTCGAGGATTTAGAGTAGAAAATTTAGTATACAAAAAAAGTTGAAACTGAGAAATTATAAAAAGTAACTATTTTAAATGTACTAATTAATAGGAAGCAGAAAACCATAAAAATGAAATAGAAAAAATTAGAGCATACAATAACTCTCTTAAAGATGAGTTAGGCAGATTATTAGAAGGAAGAAGATGACTAAGATATAATATATATATAATCAATTAGTATATAAATATTTATATATATATACCAAAATCAAAATACAGTTTAGAATTAATCTAATGATTATTTAAAAATGTAATTTTTTCTTTTCTATAACCAATAAAATGGTTTTAATGTAGCTGTTTTATGAATGATGTAGATTAAAAAGTATAATATTATTTTCAATACAAAAATATGTTATTTGTTAACACAGGATCAAATGGAATAGATGGATTGAAATTATATTGTGCTTAAAAATGAAAGCAGATTGATAAAGTATTCTGGTAATAAGTAGAATTGTATAAATTTTACATGATTAAGCACAGTAGTTATTTAAAAATTATGATTAGGGTATTTTGAAATAATAGATAATATATATATCATCATAGGAACTAAGGGCAAGGGATTTCCTAACATTTAGGACCAGCGATGAAATTACTCATTGCATAGGTCTCTTGATCACTGAATTTTCGTGATTTCTTTCTGCTTTTAGTCTAAGAAATCACTTATATCAGGTCACCATTTAGGACTACCTACAACTCACCACATGGTTCTTTTCCTTTTGGGCAGTAATACACAGGACTTAGATTTTCTAATCGTTGACTGCTATCAGTCGAACAGTTAGAATCAATATTTAATTCTTCAATATTAGTAAGTGGTTTCTAAAATGATTAAAAATAGAAATACCTTATATTTCGAAGGTGGAGTGATATAGTATGATGGACGTTCCTTATTTTTTGGAACAAAGGGACACTTAGAGCTGTTGTATGTCTAAGACTTTTTTAAAACTCTGATTTTGTTACTGCTCACTAAATTACTTTAGGTTTTTAACTTACTTTTTCGATTCTGGGGTAGTCTTTTGTTTTAAAAAGCTGGTAAGGGCTTTTTTTTAAATTTTTATTTAATTAATATTATAATATAGCCAACTGGTCTAATAAATATTCATTCATCATCCCCCATTCTGGGCTATGTATCCATTCCATTTAGACGATCTTTGTACACTTCAAGCAAAAATTTATAATCAATCCTACCATTTTTCTTAGACCAAGAGATAAGTTATGGCCATTATTCATCTCTGACAACAATTCCTTACGATCTCAACATTTTATCCATCTCTTATTTAATATGCTATTTGATTTATATATACAGTATATACATCTTCGGTTAATGGAATTTAACCATTCTATGTCAAATGTTTAAAGATTTCCAAAAGATATTTTCTATTTTTACCAATTGCATTAATGGTTTTATCAAACTCTTTAGAACTCTCCCAAATTCCATTTTCTAAATTTTAAGTTCACAAAAAATACCAATATATTAAAGAGCACTTGATTTTGCAGGTGGTTTTCTGAGAAATGTTTTGAATTTATTTGCAGCATTTATCAATCCATCATCAGTCAAACCTTCAAATTATTACTATGAAGGTGCTCTTTATTTGTTCAACCAATTCTTATCAGTTTAGGCCATTAATGATTTTTAAGAATTTTTCTTAACTCTAATATTGGCACTCATGGGCCTATAATTTTGATGAAATTTAAACCTTTTCTTTTCATTAGGATTTGAGAATTTAGAAAATGCATCCATCCATTCAGTCAAATCAAGATGTCCATCTCTTCTTTTATCAATAAATTCAAATAAGTCTTTAATGATGGCAAATGGTGGAATATCTTCAGTTGCTAATCTATATAACATTTCTATCATGTCTTTAAATTTATCAAAGGTTAGAAACCCTGTGTGTTGAGCATCTATTTATCTGAAAGCATCTTTAGGGGATAATAAATAATGATAAATATGATCATTGACTCTTTACAAATGAATACCAGCTCTCTCAAGTATCTTATTATCAGCTTATCTAAAATCTAATTTTTTAGAAAATTCTTTCCAGTTCACCATACTATTTCTATCAGTATCAAGCATAGCAGATAAAATATCTACATCTTAAAAGGTTAAACCCATATTCAAACTTCTAATAACCTATCTAAATTCTAAATTTGTGATGAATCCAGTATTATCTGGATCGTATTATTTAAATAAATCATTAACATTTTTATTTGAATTTCTTAAGTATCTTCTAATTTTATCTAATAAGCTAATATTTACTTAATTTCTTTCATCCAAAGGTAATTCAGATAATCCACTAAAATAATATTCTATATAATATTACCCTTAAGTAGCTGGACGTATAGCTTATTGTTGTGATTGTCCTTCTGCTTGTTCATAGATCTTACCACTTTTTCCAAATATAAGGGCAAATGCTTAATTACTTAATGATCCATTCTTTTAAATTCTATTCCATAGAATTTCAATATCTCCTTCAACAAATCTTTTTGGAAATAATGCTTATAAGGCCTTGTAAAAGCTTTCTTTAGTAATGATATGACTATGTTCCATTTAAAAATAATGGATTGCATTTTAAATGCTTGAAAAATATGTTGATAGTGCATCTTATATCTCCTTAATCATCTAATCTTACCAATTATATTGAGCAAAAGCATTTAACCAATCTGATTCAATCAAGTATCCTTTTTTATGTGAATCAAGATCTGAAAATATTTCATAAACTAATTTTTCTGTTAAATCAAATCCTGCTAATACATTTTTTTCATCCATCCATTTCTTAAATTTCTAGAATACTAATTTCTTACGATATCCTGAAACAATATCAAAAGATTCTTTAACATTAGGATAATGTCTACTTATTATTAATCCTATCTATTATCTAGCATTCATCTTCCAATCAAAAGAAGATCTAGATTCTTATTATTATTTTGCAGCTAAAGTTGTATTTTATCCAAAGATTTATTTGTTTTTACCATAAAAGAATCCTTCTTCCACAAATCTTCTAAAATCCATTAATGTTATTTTTCCTCTTTTATATTAATCCATTAATTTGAATAATCTATTTATTTTTGCTTCAGTAATCTCTTTCTCTTCTATTTTCAAAATATCTTTCAAAAATGTTCTTAAATCAGTTTTGTTAATTTATCCATCAAAATCTTTATCAAATGTTCTAAATGCATCCTCTATAGTAATATTCTCTCTTTAACACCAATTTCTTATTTTAATTAAGATTTCTAATTCCCAATCCCAATCATCTTCTGATAATTATGGCATCTGTTAGATTATAGATTTACTCATAAACTTTAAAAATGTATTTAAATCAATTAAACCAATTCTCTACTTATCCATAAAAGCAAAAAATCCATCTTTAGCAGGTTGACTCAAAGTCATGATTTTATCAATATTATAAAATTCACTTATTGATAAAAACCCATTATGATCAGTATCTAAAAATGTAAATAATTCTTCATATGACATTCCCTTTCTAGCTAATTTAATACGTAAGTCTTTTAGAATTTGATCAAATTTTGATTCTGGCAATTCTTCAATAGGGAAAAGACTTTTTGATTAATTCATTCCATCAACTAAAGACTAAAACATTTTCTTTTGCCCCATAGTAATTAAATCAATAGATTTTGATTAAACACAAGTTTTTTCTATTGCTGATAAAGTATCACCAAATTAAGGTTTGATTTTCATACTTTCAGCAATTTATTCAATTTAAGATTGATCTTTTCTTATATTAAAATAAGAATATCTTTTTATGAAAATATTCATATCTTCATCACTTACAACTCCATTTCCATCTACATCCATTTCTCTACAATATTCTAAACATTCTTCATGTGGTAATTATATAAAGATATTTTTCTCAAGATATTAAGAAGTGGATTCAATATTACAAGATCCATATCCAGACTTTACTTATTATAAAAATTGAATGACAGTAAACTTTTTTTGAGCAAGATACTTACTTATTTTTTAAGCAAAATCAACAAGATCTTTTGCTGTATCCTTTTAATCCATTTATTTATTAACATCCATTATCATTTAAATGAAATCATAATAATTTATAAGAGAATCTCTATTCTTTGGTAGATATCGAACTAATCTATTAATATCTTACACATTCAATCCCAATTAACTTTCCATTAATACAGTTTTAAAGTTTGCTGTATCAAGATTACCTTCTTGATGCTCATCAAAATATTCAAATGATTGTCTAAATGTTTTTAATTTCTAAGGATTAATTAGATGATCTCTCATTTTATGTAAAGTATCTTTGAACCATGAAAGATCATATAATTTATCCTCTTCTTCAACTGTATTAAATAGTATTAAAATATCATTCATACTAATGGTTTCTTTTCCATCTAAAATTTATTTGGCTACTTTTAATGCTTTATGCTAATTTAAAGATTCATCTAAATTCATTAAAGCGAACTTCAATTATTAAAGGTTAATTGGTGGATGATCTCTATTTAAATTCATTCTTTGTAATAAATCATCAGTGTGAATTTAGAATTTATAGACAACATCCTTGATATAATTCACATGAGATTCTATTCAATTAAATAAGCATTAATATATACTTTTATCTACAACAGCTTTAAGCCAATCAAATTTATCAATAAATCCATCATTATTTACATCTAGTGTTTAAAATAATGTAATAATTTGAATTTCATTTAGAGGCAACTAAATTTATGAGATAGCTCTTTTAAAATCATCAAAATTCATTCTAACCTTTCTTTCACTAGTTTTTCCAAAAGCTTGTTAACATAAATCCAAAAATGACTTAAAATATTTATTTCAATTTACATCTTCTATATTTAAAGCGTGATCTCGAATATAATATTTCAATCTTTCAAGAGCATATACTTTATCATTAACAGATCTTGTAAAACCTACTCTTGAATTTTACTATGTAGATGGTCTAACTTCAATCTAATAAATAAATAAAATAAATATTTACAGTTTTACTCATTAAAGGTCCTTTTTTGGATGAATATTAGGAATGCTTGGCTGTTTTAGGTCTTGTTTCTGGCAATTCAATTCCTAATGAATTAGTCAGATAATTTTTTGCATTATCATCAATTATAAAGTTATTTTCCTCTGGATGAGTACTTTTACTTAATTATTGCAAATATTATTGAGTAAGTCTCATGTCTCCCTTTGATTTTCTTTCTGATAAGGGTCTTTTGGTTATTTCCTTTAATTTAGTTATATTGATTACTTTGCAGCCATCCATCAAAGATTCAATGAATTAAACAGCTGCACAATGAGCTTTCACAAAGAAAGTTCCCACACATGGAATCTCTACTTCCACTACATCTCTCTATATTTAATTGATCGCCAAAATACGTTGCGCACAATATCAGATAATGATTTTAACACTCTTTCAACAGCCATCTTAGCAGAGTCCTTATTCTATGAGGCATAGAGTGCAATCTCAGCCCAATTAACAATAGCATGTTAAATTTTTCCAGATGTTTAAACTTTATAAGGCCTTAATTATCGACCTATGGCTATGGCAGTTTTGAGATTAAAACCATTAACGAATTCCTTTGATTGTAAGAAGGGTTAAATACTTTAGCAACAAGGAAAACAGGTTAACGAGGCTATTTATCTCTATCTACTGGATTTGTTACTCCATCTAAAACTACATCTGGAGCACTAAATGAAAAAGTTCCAAACTTGTTGACTGCCACTCCTCTACCCATACGCAATTGTCTTGAAATATGAAGACCTTTATAATAATGGATGAGGAAATACCAAATGCATTCCAAGCAGCTGAAACAGTTTCCTCATCCAAAGCTTAAATCAAGGAGCCATTACTAATATTCAATTTGATCAACTTACTCAACTTATCCATTTCGAGTGGCTATCTTAGAAATAATTGATTAAGCATTAATTGTAGCTTTACTCTAATAACTATCAATGCTATTCATTAAATTAATATATTTATTATGAAGGCTTATTTGAGATATGAAGGCATATCAAAGTAATAGTATCCTCAGTCACCACTTCAAGTAGAACCAAAACCTTTATTTACAATGATGCCTCGTCGTAAAACTGCATAAGTACCTTTTCGTCGAAGTCTGCATCAAAACAAATCACCTACTAATTTTGATCGATAATTCGTTGTTGAGGAATTGAGACTTGCCAATGCATCTCTTTAAGAGGTGAACAAGGAGTTACAACAATTGAATGAATCTTTACATGAGTAGGTTCAAAAATTGTAAGAATCAAATAAGGCCTTACAAATATAGATCAATTAAATGACCATTTAAATAGATGATCTAAAAATAAATAATAGACACTTGAGATCATAAGATAGCAGTATGCATTTTCAATCCAAAGCATTTGATTAGAGGTTCAAAGTAATTGAAATTTAAGATTACAAGATCAAAATAATCATATCGTTTATCTACAGTTGCAATTAAAAAAGTTAAATGACTAATTAGAATAAAAAAGAACATTAGAAACCAAACCAATGAAAATGCAATAATAAGCTCTCAAGGAATTAGATAGTATTTGTGTAATTTAATCACTATAAATGATAGTTAGAAATAAAGAATTATATTATTTGTAAGTTGTGTCATTAAGAACTGAAGGATCCAGTTACTGTAATTCCATGTGCTCATTCATATTGTCGTTCATGTAAGAAGGGTTACATGGGAAAATGTTTCATTTGTGGACCTGATGAATAAATTGAAGCTACTTATGCTAATATGTTGTTAATTCCAATGATTGAATTATTCAAAAAGAATTGTGAAATAAGGGAATTATTTAAATGATTTTGATATATTTTTATATTTAGATATCAATATCTGAGGGCAAGGAATGCTGCCACTCCTGCCTTAATCCAAATATCTTCTTCTTGATCTGAAGCAAATTCTAACCACATTACAAAGTTTGTAGAATGTCCTGTTGTTGAGAGGGTTCCTGCTCTTGATACTACTTTGTACCTAAAAATAAAAAATTAAATATTACAAAGGACAGTTGTAAATTCCAGTCTTAGGAACTACTCTGTTTTTTTTGGGTATTAGCTAAACAGGTGGTAAATCACTAAATAATTCTTTAGGAGTGGATTCAGAAAGTACATGTTTTTATGAATCCCATTTACATCCTTCTAAATAGCATCCATATACATAACAACCATCACTAGGTTTATCTACAATTTTAGAAATTTCTAAATCATCTCTTACTTAATATTCAAATGAAACCAGATCAACAGCAATTACATGTTTACGAGCATAATTTTAAGTGATACCTGCAATAAATGCTTATGGGAAAAAGAATCCTGAAAACCAGAATGTTGCTGGTGTTCCTCCATCAACCCATCTTTGTAAAAATGCTACTCTATCATTCAAATCTTAGGTCCATGAAGCTAATGGTTTTAATGATAAGAAACCCTTTTCTGCCCACATTTTAGGTACTTAGTTATCATAAAGAGAATTAGACAATTTCTCTAAATCTTCAGACATCACAACCAATCCCTTTAATGCTTTTTTTACATTTATCAATGACTCAATCATTACTTCTAATAATCTATTATATCTCAAGACTTCTTAAACCAACACTGTATTCATACTCTCTTAATAATCAGTTGGATATTTGATGAAAATTCCATCATAATCGAAAACTGGAGGAGTCTTTCCTTAAACAAAATTAGCTAAATCCTCTATTTATTCTTCTCTAGTTTTTCCTGCAGATGAACTAGTTCTTGGTTGAACTGAAAGAATAGTTTCAAGAAGCATCATAGTTTGATTTTAAGCATTAGTGATATCAGCATTCTCATGTAATCCAAATACTTCTGGAGCAGGATTTAAAGGAAGACTTTCAATATAATTCATGTAATCAGCCTACAATCCAGAAGGAGGTGAAAAGTAAGTACCACTTTTAGAAAAGGAGAAATTATCATTTAATGCTTCTTTTTTAATGTAGGTTCTTAAAATAGTTTTAATTAATCTAACATCCTTATCATCTGTCACTCTACCTCCATAATTAATCTCACTACCCAAATAATTTAAGACTTTATAAGGGACTTCTTCATATTCATCTAATAACATAACTAATTATCTCTTGCATACATTCAAATCTTCATTAGTGAATTCATAAGCAATATTCCAACCAATTGGACCAAATTTACGTCTATCTTATATAATAGCATGGAAGAAACAGAATCCAAATATTAATTTCTTAAATATTTCTGGTTTCTTACATCCACTTTATAATTCATTATCATCTAAACGAGCATAAGATCTTAACAAATTGCTTCTCAATCCTGAAGGTGGTTCTAATGTCATCTTTACACCATTCTATAATACAGATATTGGAAATGAATTAGTTGGCATACTGGTTAACCATAATCTATAATCTTTACTTGCACTCTCATCTATATCTTCACAAATACGCTCCAATTCACTCATCCATGATGCTGCTAAATGACAATTCTATAAAAGAACCCATCCTCCTTTTTGTCTAGCTGCTCTGATCATTTTTTCAGCTTTGGGACCTTAACCTTATCCCAATGAAATCTATTCATATCTTTTAAGCATTTCTTTCTCTTCTGCAAATTTTAAGAAATCAGCCACTGGATCAGAACCAGGAGATAAAACAAATATCAAAGGAGTTTGCATTGTTGAATCCTTATAGCATTTAGCTAAATCAAATAGAGGTGGAACAATAAATTGTTTTCCAATTTTATGAGATATGAAATTCTATACACATGGAATTACTTTATCAGGACGATAAGATTTTATAAAGATCAGTTTTTAGAATTCATCTAATTTAGAATTCCATTCTCCAGGCAATTACATTACATGGGGTTCAGTTGAATCATAATGTGGTTTAAATTATTCAGTATTAGTTATCCAAAATTCTTCAAATCCTTTAAAAGCTGGTAATTATGACATTCCATAAATTTATCTATACATATCTGGCCATGTGTTTTCAGCTATCCATTTGGTTGGATTCTACTTTATCTTTATATCTCCCATGGGACCAGTTAAAAGGTATCTCCATTCCTCTTCATTAAGTTACTTATAACCTTAGAGAATTTTTATTGTTAACATCAAAGAGAAAAGTAATTTGTGTTTCTCGAAAAGTGATCTACATACATTCTCATATAAACTGAAAGTGAAATAGTCATTCAGATTTGTCAATCTAACATCATGTTCTTTAGCAGCAGGTGCATTCTCAACTCCCATTGAGAATAAGTTCATAAACCATTATAATGAGTATTGATACATTGGATCAATTCCTGATAAGTCTACAATACAGAAGAACAATTATGATGCTCTAAATGCAACAGGTCTATAACCTTCTCTTGCTTGATCTATTTATTCTTCTGTAATTTTAGAATCAGCAACTCTTTAATTGATTTCAGCTGCAAATTTCTTACTGTTTTACAATTTATTAATTAGTGTCTCATCCATTAATACTTCATTGATATCATTAGCACCTTCAGATAGTGATTTAAGAATATCATCTTCTATTAATAATAATTATTTCTTATCTTCAGCATTCTTTCTCACAATTTAAACTTTATTAGCTTCTAATTAAGGATTTTCTAGAGCTACAATTAATGCTAACATTTGATCTTCTAATCCACTTGGAGTAATAGCAAAATTAATAATTGTAACCTTAACAAATGTCTCAGGAGGATAATGAGGATTAGGTATTGTAGTAGTAAGGAAGAATTTAAATTTATCATTAAATGATAATGTTTTTTCACCCAAAGTAATTGTAAGAGATGAACCACTTTTAACAATTTATTATAAGAGAATAGGATCAAATGAAGGATCTAAATCTTTTCCTACATTTTCAATCAACACCTATTTACCAAATTAGACAGCCAATTCAAGAGTTCTCATTAGATTAGGGTCATTTACTTTCAACACTTCAATACCCTCTGCATGTTCCTTACCCATATTCTTAATAAATTTATTCGCCTAATTTTAAGGATCAATCATCAAAGGATATCTTCTGCTTTTATCAATAATGATACCATTTTCAATAGATGTATCATCTTTAGGTAATCCTGCAATGTTCCAAGATTATATTTTAACAGGAACTCCTAAAAATTGAACCATTGATATATGTTCAGTGTGTTTAATAGATAATTCAATTAGATTTTTTCTCCATTTATTCTCTAAACCTTATCTATAACTTGAAACGAATGGTCCTGCATAAGCAAGCATAGCTGCTGATAATAAGGAATTACCTGGTATTAAAGGTTCCTATAATTGTAATTTATCAACATCAGCTGTCCATCTAGTTTTTTCATCAGATAATCCACTAGTTAATTTTTATGCTCTAACTAATTTAATTTCACATTCTTAAATCTTTTTAGATAAATCTTCTTTTAGTTTGACTTTTTCATCAAATTCTTCTTACAATCTTTTAATTTTAGCATTAACTGCATCTAATTACTCCTTTTTGACTTTGAGTAAGGCTTATTTCTAATCCACAATCATTTAAGCTTAAGCTAATTTATCTCTTAATGGTTGAGTTTACAAGAAGATTTTATTGTAATCATACATTGCTTAACACCAACTATACATATATTTAATGGCTAAACTACAAGTATTAGCTCTTTCTAATTTAAAATCTGGATCACCAATAATCTTTTATTCTAGTTTTCTAATGTAAGCTTAATTAATATTATCTCTCTTATAATCTAATAATTAATCTAGAAGTGTTTTAGTATCATTAAGTAAATACTTTTTGGCTGTGCTGAAATAATCTTCAACTTTCTTCATTCCTGTTTCATCTTTCATCATTTATATTTCTCCACCTTATTCTTTAATGAAATCTTATAATAAAATGACACAACCTCCAAGAGTGATAATAGCTGCTCTAGGAGGATTAGGTAATGATTTGACTTCTACTAAATGTTCTTTTTTCAATTTTTATACTTCAATCAATGTTGTCTCTAATATTCGATTAGCCTCAGCAACTGATTCTTCTGCTTCTCTCTTAATTTCATTAGCCTTTTTAGTTTCTATTTGAGCCTCTGCTTCTTCAACTGAAACAATTTTTTAAGTCTCATCTGCTTCTTTTTTGTCTACTTCTAATCTAGCCATGACTTTTTCAGTTTCAATAGCAGCTTCTTCTAATTTAGGTTACATATCTTTAAGTTAAATCTACATTTCTGAGACTGCTTCATTAGCAGCAATAAGTTTATCTAGACCACTTTTAAGACGATTAATTTAAAATTTAAGTTCATTCTTTTTTTCATTATTAACTGTCTTAAACATAGTAATTAATTCTAAGAAACTTGTTGGAGTAACATAATTGTAACGACGTAATTATTATTAATATTAAATTGAAACTTATTCCACTGATTTATGCATAATCTTACACATTTCAACAATCTTCTCTAATTAATCACTAAAACCAAATTCTGTTGCATAATCAGTTAGCTATCCTCTTCCTACACCCACTAAGGCTTCTTCAGGCCATTCAGTAAACCAATCTATTGTACAACAATTAACAAGAGAAGGGAACATACGTAAACGAGTTTAGAATTTATCACTTAATGGAGACATAGCTAATATTAAATGGATGTTATTCTTAACTCTTGCTAAATATTAAGCAAATATATTATTAGGTGTTGGTTATAAGTTTCTCTTCAAACATTCTCCTTTACATGATGTAATAATTTCTTCCATATCTTTTTCTTAATAGAGATTTGTAACATCACCTGAATTCAATATAGAATTCATATCTTCTAACATCTATTCATTAATGATTTAAGTATCCACAAAAATAAATGATACTCCTCTATTCT